AGTCTCGTCGCTCTCAAACACGTTCAAGGTCACGTTCAAGACGCAGGAGGAGGAGCAGCAGGTCAAGATCAAAGTCTAGAGGAAGGCGATCTGTATCAAAAGAGAAGCGCAAAAGGTCTCCAAAGCACAGATCCAAGTCCAGGGAAAGAAAAAGGAAAAGATCAAGCTCCAGGGATAATCGGAAACCTGTGAGAGCTCGGAGTCGCACCCCAAGTCGGCGGAGTCGGAGTCACACTCCGAGTCGACGAAGAAGATCTAGATCTGTGGGGAGAAGGAGCTTTAGCATTTCCCCGAGCCGACGGAGCCGTACCCCAAGCCGAAGGAGCCGCACCCCAAGCCGAAGGAGCCGCACCCCGAGCCGAAGGAGCCGTACCCCGAGCCGAAGGAGCCGCACCCCGAGCCGAAGGAGCCGCACCCCGAGCCGAAGGAGCCGCACCCCAAGCCGACGGAGCCGCACTCCTAGCCGACGGAGAAGATCAAGGTCGGTGGTAAGAAGACGAAGCTTCAGTATCTCACCAGTCAGGTTAAGGCGATCACGGACACCCTTGCGAAGAAGGTTTAGCAGGTCTCCCCTCCGCCGTAAACGGTCCCGATCTTCAGAAAGAGGCCGATCGCCTAAACGCCTGACAGATCTGAGTAAGTTACTGAAAACGTAATGGGAGAGCATGGCTTAAATCTGAGTTGTTCCTGCTCTTTGAGTCAAATGGAGTATTTTGGGTTAGTGGTTTAGGATAAATATTTCTCTTTAAATTTTCTTAATTAGCTAAGCTTGTGTTTAGGAAATGTAGGGATAAGTACTTGTGTAGTTTGAGTTCAAAGACCTACTTTGGAGCATGACAGAATCAAGGGGGTCCCATACTTGAATGTTTTTTTTGCTTGAACCCGTCTTCCATAACCAGAAGGGGAAGCAGAAATCCAGTTAAGTACCAGGCTAGTGTGTGCTCAGATTGTTGTTGGATGTGTTTCAGCATAAATCTTTACAAATAAGCCTAAGCTTACAGTGTTTCTTTTTAGATCAGTTACATGTCTTAAAATGGCAATATCAGACCCTCAAAGTTTGTGTAGGTAATTCTAATGGTATAATGGGTAGTGGAAGTGCATAGGGAATTCTGTATGTGGGGAGTTATTTACCTGGGTAAAATAAAGTGACATTTATTAAAGTGATTTTAATCTTCCTTTAAAAAAAAGTGCTCTAGTGTCCCTTTTAAGAAGTGCACATAGATGGTTAAAGCTTGTGGGATAATGCATGACTACCTACAGAAATAATGGATAATTATCCCAGTAGTTGGACATTTCCAAGTTAGTGTTGTCTAAAGAAAAAGACGCCTAGCTGGTTTGGCTCAGTGGATAGAGCATCGGCCTATGGACCAAAGGGTCCTGGGTTTGATTCTGCTCTAGGCCACGTACCTTGGTTATAGGCTTCTCCCCCACTCAGGCCCTGTTGGGGGCACATGCAAGAGGCAGCCATTCGATGTGTTTCTCTCACATCAATGTTTCTGTCTTTCCCTCTCTCTTCCACTCTCTAAAAGATCAACAGAAAAATATCCTCGAATGAGGATTAGCAACAACATCTAAAAAGACCCTAGCCGAACAATAAGGGAGAATGCATTCAGTTCAACAAAAAGTTTTGAGTTCTTTTTTATTCAAAGTAGAGGAATAGTATTTCATTCCTGAAGTGATTACAAGTTAGTAGAGGAGACATGGATAAAATACATATATGTCTCTTTTGCCAAATAGTAAAACTGCCAAAAAGAGCAGCATGTTATGATTGCTCTAAGTACTGGTATAGGATAGGTAAGGCACTTTGGAAGCACAGTGGAGAGGAATGTTAAATTATGACTTAAGACTTGTTAGAAATAGTGACACCTGAATTGGGATCAAGTGGTTTATAAGTGGTTTAAAATGTCAGATATTTGAAGGAAAGTAAATTTTTAAAGATTTTTTTTTAAGAGGGAGAGAGAGAGAAAGACATCAATGTGAGAACAAAACATTGATAGGCTGCCTCTTGCACACCCCTTACTGGGAATCAATCCTGAAACACCGGCGTGTGCCCTGATCAGGAATTGAACCAGCATCCTTTTGGTACATGGAATGACAGTCAGCTGAGCCACACTTGTGGGGGCTAGAAGGAAAGTAATTTTAAGGGCATGATAATTTTGGAAAACAAAGTAGGTTTTGGCAGGTATGGATCTTCTGGCAGGTATGTGGCAAGGTGATTGTAGTTACATAATTTAGTATTTTCTATAGTATTTGAATGGGAACCTAAAAGTGGACCTAATTATTTCTTTAAAAACTTTATTGATTTCAGAGGAAGAGAGAGAAACATCGGTGATGAGAGAGATCATTGATTGGCTGCCTCCTGCACGTCTACCAGGGTTCGAGCTGGCAAACTGGGCATTTGCCCTGACCTGGAATCGAACTGGAATCTCCTGGTTCATAGGCCGATGCTCAACCACTGGGCCACATCGGCCAGGCTGGCCTTAATTTAAATAGGCATTCTCTTAAAAACTTTTGAGTCGAAGCGTGATTTGATTACCATTGTAAGTTAGAGCAGAAAGTTGATGTATTCAATTTTGTTAGCGTATAAAACTTAAAATAATACAAAACACAACCTTTGGGAAAACTGCTTCTTGTATTTTTCCTCTTACAGATAAGGCTCAATTACTTGAAATAGCCAAAGCTAATGCAGCTGCCATGTGTGCTAAGGCTGGTGTTCCTTTACCGCCAAACCTGAAGCCCGCACCTCCACCTACCATAGAAGAGAAAGTTGCTAAAAAGTCAGGAGGAGCTACTATAGAAGAACTAACGGAGGTAAGCTAGACGGAATTTGTTTTAATTTTTAAATGGATTATTCCAGTGATGTTGACTCTGGAGCGTGCCAAAACCCGAATTGTGGGCTGAACTGATAATGGCTGGCACCGAGTGGCCAAAACCCGAAATACAGGTGTGGCAGCGGCAGAAGCTCTGTTTAGCAGGCCATTATCCGGGATGGCTAAGCTCCGCTAGCTAAAAGTTACTTCCCATTACTTTTGCTTTCCAGTTTTAGAAGCCAAACTGACTGAGGAGTGGGACGGTTCGTTTGAATGGAGGAGGTGTTGAGTGAGCAACACGCAGAAGCTCGCCTACAGTTTCGTTTCCATTCACGACGTGTTCACTGATCGCCACGAGTGTACTGCATATACGCAAAGACACAGACAATCTTCAGAAATGATCTTTTGCCACCGGAGCTTGGAAATTAATGAGAATAGCTGGCCATTGCCTGAAAGGAACTTCTTTCGCATCATCATTTCGGGTTTTGGCTGTTTGGTACCAGCCATTGGTGATAATGGCCGGCCATTATCAGTTCTTCCTTGCGGTTCGGGTTTTGGCAGTAACATATATATATTTTAAACACACTTATTTTTGTTCTTAAGAATTTGATCTTTTCAAATGAGGCTTGTTTTTGGCTTTGTTTTATTAATATTATTTTGTCGGTTTTCGGGGAGGGGGGAGGATGCTGAAATATTGCTGCTAGGATCCAGAAATACCACACTGTTTCATATATTGAAACTTGCTATCGGCTAGCCTTATGCCAGCCTGCCACTGTCAGTACATTCTGTTCCCCTTGGTTACAAGCGCAGTATACTCTGTTTTTGGCTAAATGAGCTTTTTATTCTATTGTAATATTTTCAATTGATAATGGATGTGGCATTCTGCTTGTAAAGGGACAAGTCTACCCAAATTTACTCTGACCTTTTTATAAAGCCAGGTAATGGAATCTGTTCCTTCGGACAGGAAGGAATTGACTTTGCTTTATGTGTCAGACCCCCTCTCCATCATGCCTTATTTTCCAATCTTGAGTTCTAGTCCTTTAGAAACTCAACCTACAAGACATTTATGGAGAGATGTTACTGTCCAACCCAATGGCAATGTTTCACATCTTTTCATCTTACCATACCTTTGGGGATCATAAAGTTTCTTAATCTGTTTCATCATTTAGATTTACTACAATATGAAGTACAACTTTTTTTTTTTAATTTAAGGACCTAGTAAAGGCTTTTATTGTTTGCTTATCAAACCCAAATTCCTTATCCAAAACTTATGAACACAGTGTTTCCCTATGTTTTTATCCTCATCATTAGCCCTCTTGTCCCTCTTAATAAGTTTCTTCTCACTTTTTTTTTTAAACACCACCTGACTAGGATCACCTTCTTTTCCTTTTCCTGCCAGTCCTTGTTCTCAACTATGAAAATCTGGCTTAGAACTCTTCAAGGACTATCCTTTGATTATCAAATTCTGCCTGATTCTATTCTCTCCTAAGCCTTTGTTCTCTCGGCACTTATGTACTCAGTTTGTATTATATCAGTTTGCACTTGTTCCTTGTGTTGCTCTGTAAAAGCGCTCCTCAACTATTTCACGTGTATGTATTCTGTCTCTTAAACTAGATTGTAAGCTCCTTGGGAGCAGGGACCATGTCTTCTCCTTTTTTGTATACCCCGGACAGTGCCCAGTACAGTGCTCTGCACATAGGTGCTCAATAAATGTTGTGACTGACTGACCAGCAGCGTGTGTTTAAATAATACGGATAAGCCACGGTTCCTATCTGTAGCCCATCATTCATCTCGTTTTAGTTTTGAAAGTTGATTTTATGTAGTTTTCATTCTTTTAAGAAATTACATTTTGTATTTTACCTAAAGTGTAAGGTTTATCTTGTTTGTTTTTACTTTTTAAGAAATGCAAACAGATTGCACAGAGTAAAGAAGATGACGATGTGATAGTGAATAAGCCTCACGTTTCGGATGAAGAGGAAGAAGAACCTCCTTTTTATCATCACCCCTTTAAGCTCAGTGAACCCAAACCCATATTTTTCAACCTGAATGTGAGTATTGGTGTTTGTGAACTGATTAAAACGGCACAACTTATGGAACTTTTAAATATTTAAATAAGACTCAAATGGAATTTAGCTTAATTTTTGAATTAAATACTGAGAAGTAAAGAACAAAGTCATTCTGAGACTGTTGGAAAGTAATTGAGAAACTTTATTTTTTTAGATTGCTGCAGCAAAGCCCACGCCTCCAAAAAGCCAGGTCACGTTAACAAAAGAGTTTCCTGTGTCATCCGGATCTCAGCACCGAAAAAAAGAAGCAGACAGTGTTTACGGAGAGTGGGTTCCTGTGGATAAAAATGGTGAAGAAAACAAAGATGATGATAATGTTTTCAGCAGCAATCTGCCCTCTGAGGTAAGTAAGAGGAATATTATGTATTTTTCTTTTTTTTTATACCTGAATCTGCCATTTTATTGTTATTTTATATCTGATTTGGATTCTGTTTCACTCTTCTTAGGGCCGGGGTAAACGGCAGGGCCGGGTTAAACGACAGATGAAACAACCCGCAGCTTCTCATTTGACAGTAACTCGATGCAATTCACTTTGTGGAACCAAGCCACAAAGTGAAAAGCATCGAATTGCAGAGAACAGTGTTGTCACATCCCTCCCCAACATTGGGCCCTCCTTGCACTTGTGGGAAGGTAGCCCAAGGTACAACTATTTAGCATCCCGTTTTGCTTCAAGGCTTTATAGCTCTAGATTTTGGTGGTAGCAAATGTACTGGCTGGAGGGGTTGAGCGGACAGAGGCAGATCCTCAGGTTCAACACAAGAAGTGGATTGAAAAAGGTCATTGTAGGCTGATGTGAGCATTTTGAATACATAGCCTATTGCCCTTAAATAATGGTTTCTTACTGTTCTCTGGGTGGTTTGTCAGATAGCCTTTAATTTTAATAATTTCCCTTCTCTGTGCTACCTTGGCCCTTTGGAATTCTTGTGTTTAACCTAATGCTCAGCCTTGGTGTACTCCATTTCCCTTCTCCTTTCTCTTTTTGCTACTAATGAAAGTTGGAGAAGTGGAATTCACACCTTGAAAATTTCACGAGGCTATAGTTGTATCTTGTCATGATGCAGTAATAACGCCAAGTGTCAAAACAACCCCATTAAAATGCCACCTGATTAAATGTGCTGCTAAATATAGTGCACATGAAAACAGCAAGACTGTATATATATGTAAATATATATATATGTATCTTTGTATGTATCTCTGTATCTGTACCTTTGCTGTATCTTTTAATAAACAGTTTACTTTTATTTAACTTGTTGTGCAAAATCACGCTTGGGGGATACGGGAGGGTGGAGAATTACTAGGGGGGGGGAGGTGGGAGTTTTAAAAATACCATAGACTAGTCATCACCTCTTGCCCTTTGTTTCCAAAGCCCAGACATTTATCCAAGGACTGGATTAGATGCTGATGCCCTTACAATGTGGGACTTCTTCCCCACTCCCTTTTCTTGCAGTTCTGGGATATGCATGTTAGAGAGACCTGTACTTTTCACCTCAGGTTCTGTTTATCGCCCATATGGTCATCTTCCACTAAACACCTCCAGTATTATAGATCAATCAGAAAGTGAACAGAACCCAAATCAGAAACCTTTTTCCCCTGAGCTATTCACAGATGACATTTTCACTGTGTGTGCACGGGGGGTTTTGACCTGTAGCATTTTAAAGGAGAAAAGTTATATACATTGAAGCTGACTGGACATGAAAACTAGCCAGTACAACTTACAGCTACCAGCGATGATCAGAGTTACATAGGGTTCAAAAATCTAAGTTATGCCGTCACCAGTGAGGTTGGGGTCGCTGGTTTGGATAGTATTTTATTGAAACAACCTGAGTAGCTCAGTTGCTAATCCCCAAATCCAGCTACCAGCACATCTGAACAGGGAAAGGGGGAACTGACATTTGCAACTAACTTAAATTTTGTAGTAGCTGAATATAAATCATAAGAGGGCTAAACAGACTGACTTAGAAATTATGATTGATTCATATGCTTTTAGTAATTTCTTGCAGATTACGCATTTAACAGAGTTGGAAAAAACTTTGCAGGGTGATGATGTGAAAAATATTTCCTGATAGAATGAAGCCCCATAAATACTACAGAATTCCAAGGGGCTTTTCTGCGGAGATAGTGACTGTAACTATTCAAGTGCTGAGTGAATGCTGATGACCATTTCTTTTTGACAGAGTTTATATAGACATCTGCTTACATATCTCTATTGGAAGTTTAGTGCTCAGCCAGTTTGAGTCTTAACACCGATGGGGGGCAGGTGCCTTAGTCTTGGCATCTAAAATGGTTGTCAGAGTTTAATTGAAAGTTGAGAATACTTATTTCAAAGAAATTTGGGGGGGAAGGTGGGTATTCAGATTTTATAAAGTATAAAGAAGTGTTTTATTAAAACAGGAGGGAAAAAGCTTCTGTAAATAAAGCTACATAAATAGAGCCGATTTCTCCTTTGGGAGGATGTACACAACTTTTTGATATTAGAACTCTAAGCTAGTTCCTTAGAAGATTATTAGGCTCAAACAACATATAGGTAAACTTTAAGCAAAACAATCCCAAAGTTTTAGGAAAAGGGACAGGATCCTCCCACCTCCCAAACCCCCTCAGGTCTCTGTAGCAATAATATAAAACACCTAGAGGAAATGTTCATATAAAATGTTTAGTTCTAGTTATTTAGCTGTGTCTTAGAAATATACTGTTTTTAAGATTGATGTTCTATATACCAATGTTTGTGGAATGCTATTGGTCACATTTTATGAGAGCATTAGTGCTCTTGGTTCTCTGTCAGGGGTGTAAAGTCTTTTAAAGCCAATATTTTAACTGAATAGTATTTTTTCCTATTGCTCTTTTTCATTTCAATAAATGGATTTTGTGGTTCTTTAAATTGAGCATAAAACATTTAGGCAAAGGTCACAGATTTGATCTTAGTTTTGCTATAATCTTAATCCCTTCCATTGTCTTGCACTTGAGTGCTCTTTGACATAACTGAATAGACGTGGATGGATCAGCAAATCCATTTCTTATGGATTGTCTACTCATCAGATTGTGTGTGCTCTACTGCCAACCAGCATCATCGACAGTAAAGAATGACTACAGAATTTTGACCATATTTGTGTGAATCTGATTGATTAGCAATGAATAGAAAAAATGTTGGAAAACTAATATTTAAAAAATTGTCCTCAGGGGCATTAATTCTTAGTAATAAAGCTAGCAAAGACTTATTGGGTAGAAGATTTAAATGTAATCTTTGACAGAACTTGGGTTTGCTATCAAGCACAAATATTTTAGCGGTCCAGAAGGTGCCCTCCCTTAAGGTCTAGTGATTACTTACATGCGAAGGTATTTTTTTGTCTTAGGATGTGTGCTTGGTTTTTATTACTGAAGAATATTTCCATATCCCAGTGGAGCTAAAAATTTCAGTGTTTAGAAGCTCTAGATTTATAAAGTTTTTAGTTTAAGTTCTTGAAGCAAGATGAAAATTTCCTTTGGAAATTGAACACACAGTTCCTAGCATACCAGAATGTAAATATAGCCTTGTTATTCATTCTCTCCTTAGATGGGATTATCACTGAATTTCCTTAAGCCAATAGGTTATCTGTTTTCTGTTATAATTCATTTAGGTTAAATGTATAAGTTAAACCTAAGCATTGCACTAGATTATTTTATTTGATAAAAATATCCATAATTCACTTTTTAAAACTAATCGAACACATTTAACTGAAACATTCTAGATTTAATAGTGCGGCTTTTGTTTTTGTAGTTGTAATTTTCTTTTATAACTGAACTTTTGTATTTTTGCTAAATATTTTAAAATCACGTTTTATATATAGATCATGTTTTTTCTTACAGTTCCACTATAATTAAAATTTTTCTTTTATGCTGTCTTTGAGATACCTGCAATTACTTGTGTAGACTATAATTTTCACTTTATATCCTTTCATTGTCTTTTTAAGAAACACTTAGGATATTTGTTCTATCTATGTAAATAGTTAGATTAACAAAAGGGGGACATAAATTGACTTAAAAGGTTTTTTTTTGTTTAAGGGGTGGTGGTGGGAGGGAGGAGAGAGAGAAACATTGATGTGAGAGAGACACACATTGATTAGTTGCCTCCCAAATTGCCCCGACCAGTGGCAGGAATCAGACCTACAACCCAGGTATGTGCCCTTGACTGGAAATTGAACCTGAGACCTTTGTGCGTGGGCCTACGCTAACCACTGAGTCTGGCCAGGGCAACTTAGAAAGATTTTTCAATGAGAAGATAAAGAACATACATTTATAACCTAAGGCCCTGAAATGCATCTTACATGGTGCTAATGATGTTACGTATTTTACTATTCCTAATGCCTTTTTTGAGGAGGGGTTCAGTGAAGAAGGAAACTTGGGTGGGGCTATAGCATGGCTATATCAGTACAGCTGTGAGGCAGCTCTGCCTGCTCTGGTCTGCTCCACTCCCTCGTGTTCTGCACTGCCCCTGCACTCCAGACCACTCTAGCCAGGGGAGCACAGACTTCAGTGGAAAGGGCAAGTGTGCTCCCCTAACACCTGGGGAGGTTATAGGAGTGCTGATCTGTTGTGTCAATGAAGTAGGAAGGCAAAATGACCTGAATAGGTTTGTATTAATGCGAGAACTAGGATTGTTCAAAACACTATGTAGATTTCATATTTCAGAACAAGTCCTCAGGAAAAGGAAATTAAATATTTCCCTCATTATAATGCCTGGAATATTATTACAGAATTATAATTATGCTTTAGATAATTACACTTTATACATTAGGTTGAAAGTCTATAGTGTATTGAAACAGCTTGCTGATGACATCTTGATAAAGTATTCTATAGGATTTAAGTTTTTTCCTTGGTTTTTAGAAGGCCTTTTGGTATCATTTTGGTACCTTGCACACATTCTTGTTTCTGAGCAACATTAAAAGCTGGTGAGGGCTCTAAAGCTTCACTGTACAGTGTAGTTTACTGTATACTGTTTGTATGTGTGTACTCCAATACAGAAGTCATTAGCCACTGGGAAGTCAAGTTGCTTCATTGCACTGGCCACATTTTAAGTGCTCATTAGCAGTCACTAGGAAATTCCATTGGACGTTGCTCATGTAAAGGGTAGGTGTAATTTTATACTGATACAAAATGTTTGGCCTAGCCCATGAATATCAATGCATTGGGGATTTTATAATTGGCTTTTCATGCATTATTATATATCTTGAGTTACCTTGAAAACTGGGAAACGTGCTTTTTGATACAAACTCTTAAGGTCCTTTAGGAGGTTAAGATAATCCTGATGCATTCTGAATATATTTCTTCACATTTAAAAAGATATGAAATTAATAGTCAAATTATTATTTAATAAAGCTTTGACATGATCTTACAGCTAACTTGCTAAGCCTGTTGAAGAATAAATGAAATTATATTACCTCAGGAAAAAACTGGTTGTAATTTTATCTTACGGAAATTTATATTAAGCATCCAAGGTTGCTCTGTTAAAGTTCTTTTCAGAATGTGATGTGAATTTGACATGAAATATTACTGAGATTTGAAAGAAGTTTCATCCTGGGTGATGAAGCATTAGGTTACCTGTTTCCACAATAAAGTCTTAAAAAGAAAACCGTGTGAAGATAGAATGTCTTCAGGAGGGTGAATTCATAGAGAGGTAGATTCACTTGCTTTCCAGTGGGGAAGGATTAATTTTATTCTAGAAAAGTTGGCGTTTTCAGAGCCATATTAATTATGTGTGTGTGTGTGTGTGTGTGTGTGGCTAATTTATAGTTGGAGATTGGGGGTCAGGGCTTGGGAATGGTTGGTAGGTAGATTTCCCCCCACTATCTCCTGAGTTTACGTTTTTAGAATGAAACCCTATTACCAATGTATACCTAGACAGCTATGAGATCCAAAGTAATTCTGACAAGGGTAATGAACAATATTAAGGTCTATTCTATGGGCCTTTTAAAATTATATCAATAATCCTTAGAGTTTTAGGAAACATCTGAGGTAGGCCAAAGGAATATAAATTCTGACCAGAAAGTCCCAGCAGTCAGAATTCTAATAGAAACGAAAAGTGAGAATATAAAGTTTCTTAGCTTGTTAGTCTGACTTCTTATAGGCCCCCAAAATAATTCTAATTAGTGTGGGTAATTTATTAAGTTGACTAAGAAATTAAGATATTCATTTATGAGATCTACAGTTTAGTAAATACAGAATGAATTCAGTTTAATTGTGCTTTCATTTTAAGATATGTATAAGAATCTATACGTTGTGCTACTTTGTAAGAAAGTCTTTAATTTTGTTAAAGAAATAATAGAGAGAACTAGAAATGATAGGGTGATTAAGGGGCTCTGAAGTTAGGAAAGAAAGGTTAGTAATCCTTATGCATGAGGTAGAATTATTCTTAGTCATACACCCTTCTCTACTATATAGGTCTTATTTTGAAAGAAGTCTTATACACAATATACAATGAAATTACAGGTCGCCTTTACTTAGCTTTTTAAACAAATCCTTAGCTGTGAACTTGTTTTACTATCATACCCATGCAGTACTTACTAATCATTCTTTGTACATTAATATAGGGAAACCTTCCCATGACATACAGCATTTTCCAAAAATGAATTTTCTTGGGTGAAATAACTAGGAGATATTAATGGGTTGGTTATGTTGTGTCAGAAGAAGAAAAGTATTAAGAACTGGTTAGTTGATACAGATCCACTTGCTCTCTTAATATTAGAATAAAAACATCAGATACTCACTCACTTGATGGCTTTTTCCTTCTGTGGTTGAGCCTTCCATAAACCTGACAAATTGGGAATTTGCCCTAAGAATTTTCCTGGACATTATGAAAAACTTTTGAAAGTTAAATCATTGTCACCTGCTTAGCATAAAGTTTTAAAGTTTTTACAAGTAGACTATGAACTTTGAAAAGGACTTAAGACTTTTCAAACATGTCTCAACTTTAAGTGTTTTAAATGTACCTTGCTCCCTCCCCTCCCCCTGAAATATTTAACTGGTCATGAATGTACATAAAGTGAAAAGAGGTCCATTTATTTACATGAGTATTTTGATAAAATTTAGTTCTTAAAACCAAACTGCAAAGCCGCCAGGTGAAGAGATGTGCACAGGAGTAGAGGAAAGGTGATTGACGCGATAGTGATTTTCTGCTTGGTTATTCAAGAACCTTGTTTATTGCTTCTGAAGGTTATGCTGATAAGCAGTTTAAAATGAAAACTGCTAGTAATACAAAATGGTTCAAAAAATTCTCAGTTTACTGCAAAAGACTTTTATTAGTGAAGGTTGGAGATTTTTAAGTTTTTCAAGGAATTTTCTGATTGTAATTTGATACAGAGCACAAGCAGTCAGTCAGATTTTGCTTCCTCTGACACTTTGTAACTTACCTGAAATACTCCTGTCTGCTTCCCAAGGTTACTTTACCTTTTTCAGTCTTCTGCCTACTTTATAAAACTGTTAATAGGTATATGAGACTATGATTTTGTTTTTGATACATAGCAACTAAGTATATGAGCACTTTTCTGAACTTAGGGGTTCTATCGTAATTTGAGATAATTATGTTTTCTTTCTTAGCCTGTGGACATCTCTACAGCAATGAGTGAGCGGGCACTTGCTCAGAAAAGACTCAGTGAGAATGCATTTGACCTTGAAGCCATGAGCATGTTAAATCGAGCTCAGGAACGGGTATGTAGTAGTTTAATGTCTAAATAAGACTTTTACTAACTAGATGGTTGACAAAATCAGTAGCATGCTGTTGAAATGTAGGTTCTTAATCTTGAAAATCCAAGGGAAAGATCATTTATTTTTTAAAATCTTCACTGGAGGAGTGAAGATATTTTTTCCATTGATTCTAGGGAGAGTGGAAGGGAGGGGGAAAGGTAAGGGGTAAGGAGAGAAAAGCAAAGACACATTGATTAGTTGTCTTTCACATGAGCCCCAAGCGGGTGGGGTGGGAATCGACCTGCAACCCAGTTCTGTGCCTTTGACCTGGAATTGGACCTGAGACCTTCTGGTGCACAGGCTGACGCTCCAACCATTGAGCCACAGCCTACTTAGTTTATTTTAAACTAGAGGCCTGGTGCACGACATTCTGGGGGTGGTGGTGGGGCAGTCCCTCAGCCCTGCCTGTGAGGGATGTCCGCCTGCCTGCTTAGGCTCGCTCCCCATGAAGCTGGCAGGTGGACATCCCCCAAGGGTTCCTTAGCACTGCTGCTTCTGGCTGAGCGGTGCTCCCCGTGGGAGCACACTGACCACTAGGGGGCAGCTCCTGTTTTGAGCGTCTGCCCCCTGGTGGTCATTGTGAATCATAGCGACTGGTCGTTCTGCCGTTTGGTCTATTTGCATATTGGCCTTTTATTATATAGGATGACCATGGCCTAATTAGCTTATTTTAAATGTCAGTGACTTGGTTCCTGGTCCTTCCTTCAGTAAATACTTATTGTGTACTATATGACAGGAACTGTTTCTTCAGCAAATAAAATAGGAAAACTTTCCTGCCGAGTTTATAATTTGGTTTATAAAAATAGCGCATTGGCCATAATAGGTCTGTGAGATGAAAGTAGTATTATGAGTTCCTGCTTTCCAGTGACGCAAACTGAGCTAAAGAGCGGTTAACTGATGCCCAAGGTCTCAAAACTAGTAAGTGAAGAGGGTGGCATTCAACCCAGTCAGCCAGGGTCCAGAGTCACCTGATTTTAACAATGGACAGCTTTTCCTTCTACCTTTCTTTCTCTAAGTACTTGTTCATACAGATAGGAAATATATTGCTTTATAATCTTGTGTTATTAATGGGATTCACTGAATGTTATTAAACTTCTTGGAAATGTTTAAAAAAGAATTTTTTTAGGAGACAGTGGGATGGAGGGGGAGAGATGCATGGATGGGTTGTCTCCCGCATGCACCCTGATCAGGGTGGGGATGGTGGGAGCAAGCCTGCAACTGAGGATGTGTCCTTGACCTGAAGAGAACCCGGGACCCTTCAGTCCGAGGGCCGACGCTCTACCCTCTGAGCAAACTGGCTAGAGCTGGGAAACAATTTTAAATATGTATAAAATCACTATATTGTCTTAAAAATTGAATATCTAAGCCAGTAATACAGCATTTTCAGGAATGAACTAAAACCATTTCTTTTAGTGAATTAAATTGTTAATTCCAGTGGCATTTTAACCAGCTGAGTAATTTTAACTAGGTAATTGAGTCATCTTCTTTTCTTCAGATCGATGCCTGGGCTCAGCTGAACTCTATTCCTGGCCAGTTCACAGGAAGTACGGGAGTACAGGTCCTGACACAAGAACAGTTGGCCAATACTGGTGCCCAAGCCTGGATTAAAAAGGTACACGACATTATGCACACACGAAAGTGTTCCAGTAGAAAGCTAAAATTTTTTAGGAAGTGTTTAATTAAAAATGCATTAAGAGGCCAGTGACTCTAAAAAGAATTCATGAGTAAATTTGCTGTGTGTGTACTCCAGGATGGACACTGAGGATGGACCGGATTCATGAGACAATGGCCAATGTATAAATATGGCTCAAGAGCCATGGCTTTATATCCTGAGGTTATTTTTATTCTTGCTGCCGCTGGTGGGGCGGGTGGTCTTTTTAAACTGTGTTTTGAATGCTCACAATGTGTCTCAGGTGCTGTTCTGAATATGCCACAGTTCCTGTTGGACTGCTAATCTAATGATTTCAAAGCGGTGGTTCTCAAATGCTTTCTCATCCTGGGATACTTTATTACAGGTTTATTTTTGGTGGATCACTGCCCCCAAGAGCCCTCTACCACCCTCATTGCCATTCCTCTATTCCTCTGCCCTCTTTCCCTTCCTTAGTGCCTGCACCTCCTTAAGCTCCCGTAGTCCCCAGCCCCCTCCCCGCCCCCCCGTGATCTTCAGGCCCAGGTCCCTGTGGTTGTCAGCTGTTGGTTACAGCAAGTGGTTGGGAGGCCCCAGGATTAGCACTGCATGTGGTGATTTTGCCGTGGGACTGGAAGGCTGGGGGAGGATGGCTGGAGCGTGGGGTGGGCATTGCTGAAGGGTGAATGGGGTGGGGTGGGGATGGAGAATACTATCTGTGGACCACCACATGGGCCCTGGTGGCCTTTGGTGGTCCACAGGCTCAATGTGAGTACCACTGATCTCAAGGAAAAAACAGGACATGAGACCTAAATTCAAGGGAGAGGACGGATGCCTCGTGCTGTGAAGATGGAGGTGCTCCTGGTTTGATTCCTGCAAGGAGACCTGTGAACTCCACCTACGGCTGCCTCATTGTTGGGGGAGTCTTAGGTGGTTACGAAGGGCTTTCTGGAGAAATGTGTGCTGGGGAAGGATGTGGCTTGCTTGGATGGGGGTGGTGGTGGTTTATTTCAGGAGCACGGGCAGCGTAGCGGCACTGACACTGGGAGGCTGCGCGGTCTAATGGATAGGGAAGGTTTCTTTATCCTGCTGTACTCCTGACTCCTTTTGTGATCATGGGCAAGTAATTATGTGGAATTCAGTCTACAAGTGTCACATGAAGGAAGACAAGGCCTTATTCCTGCCCTCAGGGTGGTAATATGACAGGTGCCTGTGGAGAATCGCCATGAGTGCCAGTGAATGAGCTCATTTCTGAGAAAATGAGATTTGGGTTGTTTGGAACTTTTAATCTCATAACATTTCAATTTTGATTGCATTACCTCTGATGATCCTCTTATTAACAAATTAATATAAAACATAGTTTCACTTTGCCTGCCATTGGGGGGGATAAGCACTCTTAATATGTGTATACTGAGTACACAGATTCATTTAAAAGTTACAGCTTATGTCGTTTACTAGGGTAACAACTTACGTCGTTCCCAATATCAATATTGGGAAAAGATGACAATCTAAGATTTAATTAATTTTGGACTAATTATATTACATTTCAAATGTGAAGTGATTTGTGTAGTATTTGGAAAATAGCTTTCATTTCATTGGGAAGAATTACAAAAGTACGCCTATTTCTTTAACAGTTTAATTCTTTAAAACTACTCCATATTTCAGGAAGTGAGACTTGAAACTTACATGAATGCTTTAGGCACATAATAGTCATGTACATTACTAGTTAGAAACTTTTGAATATGATTCCATTGTAAAATTTAGTCTAATATTTGTGTATAATGGAAGTGCTGATCTATAATGCTTCTAAACATACTTCTAAACATCGTGTTAATTTATAAAAAGTGAATCTTTTATAGATTCAATTGGTTCCCCGAATTTTTAAAAAATTTCCAGTTTTGTAGGCAGTTGACAGACTTTTAAATAAACATTATGTCAATTTAAATCATTTTGATAAATTATCATGCCTTGAAGCTGTGTTCATTGACCAAAATTTTAAATAACTGAAGAAAGCAATGCTTTCAGGAAAACCATTTGTATGTTACTTAAAGAATATTTGCTACTAACATCAAGAAAGGAATGTTTTATTTCATAAAAATGAGGTAGAACATGTGAAAAAGTTATTAGGCAACAGGAAAATTTAACACTTACCTACTGCAGACTGTCTGTTGTGCTTAGGAAATGTTTCCAAATGCTCATTGGGCTTTTCTTGCCTTGCTACAGCTCAGCGCCCTCTTTGTTAAAAGCCGCTCGGAATGCCTGCATTTCCCTTACACTTTTGTATTTTGTTGCAGTAAATCAGTATATTCTTAGTAGATAAAGGAGAGTTTTATTTATTTTTAAGTAAACATTTAAAACAACCTTTATTTTTTGAGATGGTATCATTTGGACATGACCTGATGAATACTGTTTACTATTGTAGTCTCATTAATCAGCTTTTTTGTTAACTATATACACCCTGGGGTAAAGAAACATGAATATATCAGAGAATGGAAACAGAATTGAAAACCTGGGTGATTGGGTATTTGTATGTACTCTGCACAGTTGCCCTTTTTTTTAGGAGTGTTTCCTGGAAAAGAGGGGCCGATGAACCTGAAAGTAAGTAAAAGCCATTCTAGGTGTGTAGCAACAAGGCAGTTGATATCCAAGCATCAGCTAACTTTTCTCCCAATACATCAACACTGCATGGCCTGCACCAAATAAGGAACTGAACCAGGGGTATGTTTTACCTCCACAGCCGCCTCCTTCCATCAGAGCACCTTGTTGGACTTAATGTCTGTCACACAATCATTGGCATGCTTCTCCCCAGCGTGTAATTAAAAAGCTGGGGGAAAAGAATATAGTTTAAATACTGTCAGAAAACAAGATTTAACAATTTTGGTATTAACTTGTCAATACAGGAATGTAATTAATGAATACTATTTCTAGATTTACCAAAAATTTTGACCCCCTTTATTGATAAGTTAATGACATCTATATGTTTGCTGGAGAATGTAAATTTAAAATTTAATAACGAGAAATAAAAAATGATTTGGAGATATCACATAAAAAAAAAAAGACCAACAGTAAAATTTAGTAGTAGTTTATTGTATGTACATGGACGCCTCAGAGGCATCCCGTATTTCTGAATGTGTGACAATAATTGACTTGGTCATGCTAATGTCTATACTTGTGCATCTTACGACATTAAGTGGTTTGCTGCTTTGATGGAAATTATGGTTCAGTGGGTTGGATACAAGAGAGATGACTGTTCACAGAATAACCTGTGAACTTTCACCCCTCTGTATGGAAACTTGTTTCAGGGCCAAATCCTTGTAGCTGTCTTCTTGCCCCGGTCAGTGCCAGCCCTACTATTCACAACACTGCTGCTACCGAGGCCTAGGTATGTAAACGTTTAAGGAGTTTTTTAAAAGTCTTTTAACATCAAGCTAGGTTTTAAAGGAATTCAAATTCAGTTTGGTATAATAACAGGTTATTTTATGTGATTGTCCTCCATTTCTTACTGTGTAAATTGATTATAGTTATTCTTTTGCTTCATAGGGTTTTTCTATGTAAATATTTATACTTACTCCATGGTAGAATGGGGAAATAAAATGGGTGATAACAGTATGCTTCTTCAGTGTCCGAACTATTTCTAAAATGACTTCTGGGCTTTATTTATTAACTAGGTGCACCTGGGACAATTAATGACTGTTTTAACATTGCCTTCTTTTTATTTTGCAAGCTAAGAAGAGATACCAGTGAACGTAAATAGTGGACGAAAACAGGAGTGTTCTAATTTTTTTTTTGGAGGGGGCTCGAGGGCCACTGTTTTAAAACTGCCATTTATATGCCTTACGTGACTTTCAAAATACTGTTATGTTAATGTGGAAAAAGTTAGAACATACACACTACAGTATGTATAAGAAGCATTTAAATGTAACAGCTATAACAGATCTAGAAGTAAAATCAGGTTTCTTTTTTAAAAAGTGACAGAGTTGATGGTCACATTCTAACTGTAAAATTGGGACATTTACCTTTTTTCTTTGGACAGGATCAATTCTTAAGAGCAGCCCCAGTAACTGGAGGAATGGGAGCCGTTTTGATGAGAAAAATGGGTTGGAGAGAAGGAGAAGGATTAGGAAAAAACAAAGAAGGAAATAAGGAGCCTATCCTCGTTGATTTTAAGACTGACAGAAAAGGTAACAAGTGTTTTGGGGAAAGTTTATTATACCCCCTTTCACATTCCAGATTTCATTGTCTACATTCTTTTGATGTCTGTGATCCTGACCTGCAGGCTCTTCTGCTTATACAGATGTTGGTGTTTTTGAGGGGGGGGGGGGGGTGGGCGGTGGAGGGGAGAGTTTAACTCATTTCCAACAACTTATATAATTATAGGAGGAAACACTAATTTTAGCTTTAAAAAGGCAACCTGTGTTAATTATGGAACTTTGAATATATCTATGATTAAAATTTTAACTAGATTTTATATTTATAAAGCAGCCATTTTGTTTTGACAGGGAATATATTATCTTTATTTCTAGAATATATTTTCTTAGATATTTTATCCCACATATTCTTTTTATTTCCTATTAAAGTGCTGTTTAGTCTCCGCCTTATAAACCCTCTTTTCAGGCTCAGTAATTCAGTACTTTGGGGTTGGGGAATAGATCAACTGCCTAGAATAGTGCTTTTTTTTCATAATGCCCTGAGTTTGGGGCACCTAAGTATAATCCATGGGAATACCAACTCAGTGTGATGATTGAAGCTTATTTAAGTCTGATTTTTAAAACTCAAATGTATTTTCCTTATCTTTGTATTCAAAGAGATTTCATTGAAATTAATGCAATTACATTATTCTTTCTTAATGACCATGGAAACTGAATAGCTCCAACTAAATTTTTTTTTATTGTTTTGCATCAGATTTTCTACATTGCCATCCATGTAGAATACCGTGTTGCCATTTTATTTCCAACTGGTGGGAGTATATTGTAATAATGATACTCAAAAATAGCATGGAAATAACATGACAGTCATCCTGTGATGTAGCATTAATTCAAGCTTTAAATTAGGAAAGGGCATTTTGCTAGTTATGTCACATTTTATTGCTTGTGCAAGCTGAATAGATGATCTGTCACAAAAAGGTGGTTTATTGGAAGAAAACATGTTGGATGCGTTGTGTAATTCCAGGGAGCATTCTCTGGAATTGAAAACGTTGGTTTTGCATAGTAACAGCTAAGCTACTTGGGAAAGGGGGGTTATGCAGTTGTGTGTGTGTGTCTTTCGAGAACACCTCACATTCGATAAGTCAGAAAGGGCTTCGTTGTTGGGGGGTGGAATGAACCCATTTATCAATGAGACAGCATTTCTCACTTTTTTACTTGTGTGTGACCTAAAATCCTCATCTTTTGAGGAACATATCTTTTACTGAGCATCATCTTTTAAAGAATGGGCAACCTTTAGAAATCAGTTGCAATAAATAGCCACTACTTTTTAAACTTACAAAGCAACAGGCCTGGAGTTGTTGATAATGATGGCACTTAATTATATGTATTCACATACTAAATGCTTGTTTTCTGAACATTTTATATAATTTCCAGTACCAGGGTGTATGAATATGTATATTTATATGTTGAAACACAGCAAAATAGAAGTCCAGATTGATCTAGAAACTAGGGTAAGGGGAATGTGTTGAAGATTTCCTTTGAAGTTTATTTCATTAACATTGATTTTTTTTTTTTTTTAAGGTCTTGTGGCTGTAGGAGAAAGAGCACAGAAGAGGTCTGGGAACTTCTCTGCTGCAATGAAAGATCTGTCAGGTGAGGGACACTGGGATTTTTCTCACCCATCCTTACTCAGTTCATAATTGGTGTCACAGATGGTGGAGATAATGAATAATTGGTTATTTTTTTTCTCTGCAGGCAAACATCCTGTGTCTGCCTTGATGGAAATCTGTAATAAGAGAAGGTGGCAACCACCTGAATTTCTCTTGATCCATGATAGTGGCCCTGATCATCGCAAGCATTTTCTCTTTAGGGTAAATATGAATTTCTGCATTAATTTTATACATTTATTAATTTGATGACAATGTTAGCGGGTGAGGGATAAGTATATGATCATAGGATTGATATATTATTGGTGGGCTGGGACTGTGTATATGTATAGGTAGAGAGGAGGGGGTTTTAAACATACAAATATGCCTCTTAATATGACTTTTAAAAACCTTATTTTAAAAATACGTTGGAAGGGAAAGTTTTGGGCAAAATCTTGTGAACTGTTTGTTGCCATATTTTAGTAGGAAATGGGGAATTAGAACTAACAGGCTTTTTTTAATTTGGAGACCTGCTTTTAATTTGCTGTCTCTTTTCCCAAATGATTTGCTTCTTCTGGGTTGAGGTTAATTTGACTTACATAGTATGGGTTTTATGTTTTAAATTAGTTTTCTAGCATTTAGTGAAAAAATAAAGCTAATAGATATTAAAGTTTGATGCTGTTCTTATTGTATGTTTTTCTTGAATAGGTATTGAGAAATGGAAGCCCTTACCAGCCCAATTGTATGTTTTTCTTGAATAGGTATTGATAAATGGAAGCGCTTACCAGCCCAGCTTTGCCAGCCCTAATAAGAAGCATGCTAAAGCCACAGCAGCTACTGTGGTTCTTCAAGCAATGGGCCTTTTACCAAAGGACCTCATGGCTAATGCCACTTGCTTCAGGAGTGCCTCACGTAGATAGATTGAGGTTTTATATTAATCATTTCAGATAATTTTACTCTGCATCAAAATGTATTTCCTCTTTAATGTTGTAAATATTTGGCAATTTAAAACATTGTGTAAAAAGCAATCTGTACAAACATCTCCCGGCTTTGATTTTTGTACCATGGAAATTGTATTTAACCATACAGGGTTTTGGTATGTTTATATTGTTTACCTTAGTGATGTATTTGTTTAAGTGGCTAACATCCAAACGATTGTTTGAAGGCATCCGTAATCTTCAGTGTGGAATGTTAAATTACGCTTTTATACTGTATTTTGTACTATGATGTAACTCCCCTTCCTTATGGCTAGGCTGCTGTAACACTTGCCTGTAATCAGTGAAGGGCTGTGCACCTTGTACTAGTTCACAATGGGTTCTGCTGGACAGATACTGGGGCCAGTGTTATTGAGGTAATCAAGCAAGATCTGTTCCACAGGGCTGAAGCCACCATCTCCCCTTACAATTTTGTAGAAGTTATAAAAAGAAGTGGTATGTTGTGTGATGATCAGCACTAAGTCCTATGTTCCCGTCAAAGCCACTTGGGCCATGAGAAGGGAGTGAAAATGAAGTCCGACTAGAATTCTACTGCAGAGGCCAAGTACACTTAGTATGGCATTGAGTTGTGATATAGTTTTACTTTGATGTGCATTTTGAATTTCAGCTACACCTAGATAGACGTAAAATGATAATTAAAATGCTGTAACCAACTTATCTAATAAAATTGGCACCCAGCCACTATTTTGTTGACTGAGAGAGTTTAAGTTTAATTTTTAGGGTCTAATAGAATATTTCATGTGTATTACAGTGGTATTCATATGCTGTCTCTATATTTTAAAAAGCTTAAGGCCCCAAAATATAAACTTCTCTGGAATAAATGTGGTGGTTTATTTTCTGGAATATAAAGTGAACACATACTTCTTCACTAAATACTATTGTTTCTTTACCCAATGCTTATGATTTCTAAGCACTCTTATTTAAAAAAATTTGAACTAGAAACACACACACACACACACACACACACACACACTACTTTGCCATGATGGATGAGTGTACTTTAAACTCCTAATACACTATTCTATCTGGAATACAAAACACCCGTACCTGAATGAACATGCATATGCATTAAAAATGTGTGTGTGTATACCTCTATCTATCTGAGAGAACTGTAAAGAAAGCAACTAAGAAGCATCAACAATCAACTCAGTAGATATTGTATAAATTTGGTTTCAACCTTTACAAGCTAGAACCTGCTCAAAATCCTTGGTAAATGGTTAGTTTTGCCCAGGTGTCATTAATTGATACTAATTTAGCCTCAATTTCCCATTTGAAAGGAAGCACTGACATTGATTCAATTTTCTATTCAGTTTATCATTAAGTTATAGGGATCTAGTTCTCATTCAAGTTACTTGAGTTTTTCATAACTCATCAAAAAATAGTGAAACTGGAGAATGTTGATCTAAAATCTTAACACATGCATGTAATAAATATTAACGGTTAATGTTTATAAACATTTGAATATTCCCTTAACTTCCAAAATGAAATTTAAAGCCAAAGGTATAAAAATCTTGAATTTCCGTGCCAGAGGCTTTTTTCCTCAAAGATTCCTTTTAGGCTTACTTTGGCGTTCAGGATCTCCAATTATAAAGGTAGTCACTCATTTCCACATTCCGTAAGGATGATTTCCCCAGGACTGGTGTTTGGCTAAGTTGGTCCAGAGTCTTAGGGTGCAACCCACAGTTAGCAAGCTCCTCACGAACAGTCTCCTGTGGGAATTGGTACCAGTCAGTGAAAGCACACCAGCCTTTTTGAACACGCAGTTTTTAATAGTTACCATGGGAACTTGGACACCAATGCCTTCATACTATTCATTATCAACAGGGGTTGACTTAAAGAATTTTTGCATAGTTTTAATTATAACTTCTAAATAAAACCTAAAAAATGTCAAAATTAAAGGCCATTTGTTAAATCCTCATGCTAAGTTGCCATTTTTTTTGGTGGGGATAGTATTTAAGTCACTAAGTACAACAGCTTGAAATCATAAAACTTACCTCACAATAACAACTTACATAGATACATCCCTTCCTCTTAGAAATTATCATTGAAAATTAGTAAATACAGTTAACTTGAAACAGTTTGGCTCACAAATAACTTCCTTCACCTACTTTGAGGAAACAGTCTGTTTACAGCTAGCGCTCTACTTACCTTTCCCAGCGCTTTCCCCGCTGGTGGGCAGATGTTGAACACAGCGGTGGGCTCGTGTGTGTACAGTCCTGCAGAAAAGGACCCGCTCTGTGAAGATCCGAGTAGCCTGGTCATGGCGTGTAGAGAATGAGGCATGACAGGGCCTGTGATCTCCAAGCTGAACTGATCTTTGTATCCAGAAACAACCTGTGTCTTCACATTTACACTTCGTGCCTTACAAAAAATTGAAGGGGAAAAAAATTATGGTCATCTCTCAAGCTTTTGTCCCTAGCTTAAAACATGTTCACTAACTTTTCATTAGGATTTTCCTCTAAGTTATGGAACAAAAGTAGTGACATAAAGAGTGTTTAAGAATAAAAATGGCCGAAACCGGTTTGGCTCAGTGGATAGAGCGTCGGCCTGCGGACTGAAGGGTCCCAGGTTCGATTCCGGTCAAGGGCATGTACCTGGGTTGCGGGCACATCCCCGGTGGGGGATGTGCAGGAGGCAGCTGATCGATGTTTCTCTCTCATCAATGTTTCTGACTCTCTATCTCTCTCCCTTCCTCTCTGTAGAAAATCAATAAAATATATTAAAAAAAAAAAAAGAATAAAAATGTTTAGTAAATTCTATCTCCAGTATCCTTTACTCCAAATTATGAGATTGTCAGTTTAAGTACATAAAATTTTTTCATATGGTATTCACTCTGATTTAGTAATACACTTTCATTACAGAATATTGGTAAAACAAATAAATTGATTCTACAGCTACTAACATTCAGTATATATTTGTTTATATGTATAATTTTCAACAATATGGATATACAGGCACTCCTTGCAGATATTGTGGGTTTGGTTCCAGACCACTGCAATAAAGGGCGTACACATGAAAGCGGGTTGTAAACTTTTTGCTGGTTCAGGGTCTTGCTTTCAATTTGTAAAAAACGCAACATCTGTGAAGTGCAATGAGGTCTACCTATTCAGTTAATCTTTTCATTATTCATGATCCAGTTTTTGAGATAATTCAATATTCCTGCCTCTTAGACAAGCGCCCTGGCCAGTGTGGCTCAGTTGGTGATTTAACTCCTGGTCAGGGCACATACCCTGGTTGTGACTTTGATGCCCAGTCGGGCCACGTGCAGAAGGCAATCAATTGATGTTTCTCTCTTAAAAAAAAAAAAAAAAAAAAGAAATGAGACAACTTTTCTTTATGGCAAAAAAGATTAACACCAAAATTTTTGTTGCCAGTTTTATACTTGGTAAGAAATTTTTTTTTTATATAATTCATGTATTTTCATGTCACTCCTTTGGTATAACTACATCAAATGATTTTTTACAAGGAGAAAAAAAAAGCAACATAAAAATGCAAATAAAACAAATGTCAAAAATTTATCCTATCAAAAAAGAAAAAGTACTTTTTAAGAAGCTAGGTTACTGACTTCCAGTCAAAATAGCAGAGTAGGTAGGTGAACATTGTCCAACCCCTCCCACGACCACATCAAAATTACAACTAAACTATAGAACCACCATCATTCAGAACCACCTGAAATCTAGCTGAACAAGTCCTACAACTAAGGACAGACGAAAGCAGCCACATGGAGACTGGCAGGACAACTGAAGCTGCGCGCCAGGCTGGCGGATAAAAGCCAGGATGGTGCCTCAGCTGCAGAGGTCCCCGCTGAGGACGAGGCCCCACTGGGCCAGGCCAGGGCTCTCATGCCAGTAGAGAAGTCCAAGGAACTTTAGGCTGTGAAACCCAGCAGATGTGGCTGAGACTAGCACTGCTGCAGTCCCAGGAGTTGCTCTTTAAGGGCCCGCACAAGGCTCACTTGTTCTGAGCTCCAGAGCTGGGGCAGAGGCACAAAGGCACCAGAGACATAGAGCCCACACCAAGACACATCCTAATTAAAGCACCAAGGGTTAAAGACAGACTCTTAAAAGCAGCAAGAGAAAAGCAGTTAGTTACCTATAAGGGAGTTCCCATAAGACGGTCAGCTGACTTATCAACAGAAACTTTGTGGCCAGAAGCGGCTGGTATGAAATAATCCAAGTGATGAAAAACAAGGACCTACCACCAAGACTACTTTACCCAGCAAAGCTTTCTTTCAGAATTGAAGAACAGATAAAGAGCTTCCCAGACAAGGAAAAGCTAAAGGAGTTCATTACTATCAAACCAGTATTACAAGAAATGTTAAAGAATTGCTTTAAGAGGAAGAAGAAAAAATATGAATAAAATAGCAATAACTATACATATCAATAATTATTTTAAATGTAAATAAATGAATTAAATGCTCCAATCTGAATGGATATTAAAACAAGACTCATACATATCCTTACAAGAGGGCCACTTAAGATATAAAGACACACAGACTGACTAAAGGGATGGAAAAAGATATTTCATTCAAAGGGAAATGAAAAAAAAAAAAAAAAAAGCTGGGGTAGCAATACTTGTATCAGACAAAATAGACCTATTTTTTGGTGTGTGTCAAAGTATCTTTTTAAAAAAATATATATTTTATTGATTTTTTACAGAGAGGAAGAAAGAGGGATAGAGAGCTAGAAACATCAATGAGAGAAAAACATCGATCAGCTGCCTCCTCCACACCCCCTACTGGGGATGTGCCCACAACCAAGGTACATGCCCTTGACCAGAATTGAACCTGGGACCCTTCAGTCCGCAGGCCAACGCTCTATCCACTGAGCCAAACCGGTTACGGCCAAAATAGACTTTTAAAACAAAGGCTGTAACAAGATAGGATCCAGTGATTCCACTTCTATTTATCTAAGGAAACCAAAAACAGTAATTCAAAATGACATATGTATCCCTATGTTCTGCAACATTAATAGCCAAGATATGAAAGTAACCCAAGTGTCCATCAATAGACGAATGGTGAAAGATGTGATACATACATACAAGGGAATTAGCCATAAAAAAAAAGTGAAATATTGCCATTTACAACAACATGGGTGAACCTTGAGTGTATCCTATATAATAATCCTATATAATAAAAGGGTAATATGCAAATTGACCCTTACAGCAGAATGACTGGGAATGACTGGTCACTATGACACACACTAACCACCAGGGGGCAGATGCTCAATGCAGGAGTTGCCCCCTGGTAGTCAGTGTGCTCCCACAGGGGCAGCTCTGCTCAGCCACAAGCCAGGCTGACAACTGCCAGCACAGCAGTGGTGGTGGGAGCCTCTCCCGCCTCCTTAGCAGCACTAAGGATGTCCGATTGCAGCTTAGGCCTGCTCCCCGCTGGCAAGTGGGCATCCCCCGAGGGCTCCCGGGCTGCCAGAGGGATGTCTGACTGCCAGCTTAGGCCTGTTCCCCCTGGGGAGCGGGCCTAAGCCAGCAGGTGGACATCCCCCAAGGGGTACCAGACTGTGAGAGGACACAGGCTAGACTGAGGGACCTCCCTGAGTGCACAAATTTTTGTGCACTGGGCCTCTAGTTATGCTAATAAAATAAGTGAGATAAAGAAAAATACCATCTGATTTAATTTATGTGAATTTGAAAAAACAAAGACAACGCAGAAACAGAATAAACTGATGGCTGTAAGATGGGAGGGGGGAGACAGGTCAAAGAGGGGAAGGGATTAAGATGTACAATTTGCCACTTACAAAGTCACTGGGATGTAAAGTAGAGCACGGGATACGGTCAGTAAGACTATAATACTGTATGGTGTCAGATGATTACTAGACTTATTGTGGTGATCACTTCCTAAGTCATAGAAATGCCTAATCACTATATTATACAACTGAAACTAATCTAATATTGTATATCAACCTTAACTGAAAAACAAAGTTATTTTTTTTAAAAAGAAGTTACGTTATGAAGATTAGCGTAGGATTACCCTCCAACCCCTTATTACCTTAAGCATTTGCATGGTGGCACCTCGGAAAGCTATCGGGGATAAGAGAGTTGGTGGAAGTCCTGCCTGTGGGCCTGAAGTAGCAATTAAGCTCTTACAGTTGATCAAAAAATTTAGCAACGTAAAGGTGTTTGTTCCCTTCACCAACACAACAGACTCAGGTCTGTGATCCATTTGTACTTCATGTTTCTCCTTACGCCTGAAGATGACAATCAAGGAAACTGCAAGTACAAATCCCATGCCAACGGGAAAAGCAGTTATCTTGATTCTGAATCACCTGGGACCCCTTTCCCAATCCCAAACTGGAAATGCTCCGTTATCATGTCTTCACTGCAGTTATAAGGCACCTGTTTAAATGAAAATGACTTGACTTTAACCTGCATTTGCTAGAAATTGACACCTAACAAAACTTTCTTCGCTAGTCAAAAATATATTCTGTTCCCCCCCACAAACTTCAACAAAATGGAATATTTGCTCTTTTTAAAATATAGCTTCTTTGCCTTGACCGGTTTGGCTCAGCGGATAGAGCGTTGGCCTGCGGACTCAAAGGTCCCAGGTTCGATTCCGGTCAAGGGCATGTATCTTGGTTGTGGGCACATCCCCAGTGGGGAGTGTGCAGGGGGTAGCTGATGGATGTTTCTCTCTCATCAATGTTTCTGACTCTCTATCCCTCTCCCTTCCTCTCTGTAAAAAATCAATAAAATATATTAAAAAATATATATATATAGCTTCTTAGTTTATTGGTACTTAGGGTTTTGTTATTTAGTGTCATGATGGTGAATTAATTTTAGTATGATCTTAAGATAATTTAAGATTATGGTCAGGCAGGCTAGTGTGGTTCAGTGGTTGAGCATCAACCCATGAACCAGGTCACCAGTTGGATTACTGGTCTGGGCACTTGCCCAGGTTGTGGGATCAATTTTCAGTGGGGGGAGTGCAGGAGGCAGCCGGTTGATGTTTCTCTCTCTCTCCCCCTTCACTTCTTCTCTCTCTAAAATCAATAAAAACATATTAAAACAAAACATTATGGTCAAATAAAACTGCCAGTCAATATTCCATTGCTCACTAACTTAATTCAATGAAGATCAATTCTAGTTAACAGCAAATGAAAGGATACAGCTTGATAGAGAGTATGTCTGGCTTTTTAATTTTATCTTGCACACCCATCTCTTCCAGCCAGGAAAAACTTTCTTCTTCATCTTCATCACTGATTGCTTGCTCCCTAAAAAATTGCTATAGTTAGATTTCCCATTTCATAAAGCTGTTTCCTCTCCAAAACTACTGCACCGAGTCGATAGCCACTGAATGACATCAAAGGTTATTTTAATCACATACTCCCCATGTCCCAAGCTTGTCCCAGACGGTTTCTTCTTCTCATGGCCACTTTCTTTTACTAAAGGCAGAGAAAATTCAATACCTACATGAGAAAAAAAAAATAACTGAGTTTTCTTTACTATACTAGTAATTTAAAAAAATTTAACAGGTATGCCTTATTTTTAGAGAGTCCGAAATTTGAAAATGTGAGTCTTTATATTTGATTTATTTAGGCAGTAGCTTTCAAACTTTATTTTTTCTTTTTCAATTAGTTTACATTCAGTATTACCTTGTATTAGCAGCCCATAACACAACCATACATACCCATATCTCCTTCAAACAAAAGGTTCAGGAAACAATACATTCTTACTACATGTAGTATTCTTTCATAAAGTATATACTACTCATTTTTTCATTTTTTTTTAAATGCTGATTAAACCCAGTAAATGTATCTTATGTCCACTCATGGGTTGACCCAGTTTGAAAACTGTTGTTAAAAGGGGTAGGTAATCTGTACTATAAGGAATTTTAAGAAGTGTATATTCAGATAGGGACTATCCAACCCAGTATGTGTTTAGAGATCCGTGAAAGGAAGATCATTAACTTAAAGCAATGTATAAGGAACAGCTTAAATAACTGCTATAAAAAGATTCAGAAAGAAGTAAAATATTTCTTAATATAGTTAAGCCCAGCCAGTGTGTCAACCTTAGAACCAGGAAGTCACGGTTCGATTCCCGGTCAGGGCACATACTTGGGTTATGGGCCCGTTTTCCCAGTGGTGGGTGTGTAGGAGGCAGCCGATCAATGATTCTCTCATCATTGATGTTTCTCTCTCTCTCTCTCTCTTTCTCTCTCTCTCTCTCTCCCCCCCTCTCTGAAATCAATAAAAATAAGGTGTAAATAATAATATAGCTAAAACTAATAAAAGACAATTCAACTGACAAAGGGTATTTTTAACTTTCAAGAAAAGAGTTTACTATATAGTATTCTTATTTTAAACTATAATTTTACCTTCATTTTTCATAGCTTCTCTTATACCTCTAGTTGTAGGAGACATGAGAGCCGTGATTACATCATTTCCTGCTAATCCTGATGCACGAAACAGGATAGTAAATTGATAGGTACAAACGTAGAAATAGGGGCAAAGTTTTGTCTTCAGAAGATTATACAAAGAAGTGAAGCTCACAGACCTATGAAGCAAATTTTCTTTTGTTAATTAAACATTTAACTTCACATCTAAAATATAATACTGTATAATTCAGCTTGATATTCACCGATTTGAAACACAACATAAATATTACAGATAATGGTTTTCATTTTTGCCGTTACATACAACTTGGCTTTTAAAGAACTGAAACTGGTCATGGGACTCACTGATAACTTCTACATATTTAAAGAGTGTTTACCATTTAAATACTAACCACTGTTTTCTTTAAATAAAATTTAATTGGTAACTTATTGGTAATTATCTTTGTGCAGGTTCTGGTGAGAATGGAAGCAGTCACTGACAAGAATCTTAAAGAATTATGTTTATGTGTATTTACCAAACATTTAAATGAATTTCACAATTGCATAAAGAGTGAATAAGAGCTAACAAGTAAACAATGTAAATGTTGGTTAACAGTTCCAATAAAATCATTCAGGAGGAAGAGCGATCTTTCTAACACTAAATATTTCCACATAATGAATAACACAGGAAGAGAATACGGCTAAAATGAAAATTCAGTATTGGATCACACAAGTTTTTACAAATCTTACCAGTCACTCATTAAAATGCGTTGTAGGGATTCATCATTCGACCAAGGGCTTGTCTTTGCAGACATTTTCCGGTCAGCTCCAATCCGAGGGAACAGGGAGAGCCAGGGAAAGGCGGGGTGGAGCCAGTAGACCAGGCTCTGCTGGAAAGCACATCGCAGCTCAGTGCAGAGCTTGGGGTCCTGAAGTCCAGGCAGCGCACAGGTTTGAGCCACAGAAAGATAAACTTTTATTAAAAAGACACTGAATATACCAAATCCTTATCTTCACTGCTTCCTATAGTAAAGTGTTAATAACTGTTACAGGGGCTACAATGCAGTTTATTCTTATTTGGGAGAACCTTTCTTGTCAGCAATTATAGTCTATCCAGCCATACATCACAAGGAACACTTAAACACAGATGGGAACCTTCTCCTGTCTCTACCATCCTGGAAAAAATGACTTCTCTTTTTTATCAGGAGGGCAGGGGCTGTGTGCGTGCGTGCACGCATGTAGGTAATAACACATTCAACCGCGCCCCCCCCCCCCCAAGCCCCGGGCTCTATTTAAAAAGTAGCCAGTGCCCTAGCCAGTTTGGATCAATGTATAGAGCAGAAGGGTCCCAGGTCTGATTCTGGGCAAGGGCACAATCTTGGTTGCAGGGTTGATCCCTGTGTGGGTGTCAACCAATCAATGTATCTCTCTCACATCAGAGTTTCTCTGTCTCTCCCTCACTACTCCCTTTAAAAATCAATGGGCCCTAACCAGTTTGGCTCAGTGGATAGAGCATTGGCCTGCGGACTGAGGGGTCCCGGTTCGATTCCGGTCAAGGGCATGTACCTGGGTTGCGGTCTCATCCCCAGTAGGGAGGTGTGCAGGAGGCAGCTGATCAATGTTTCTCTCTCATCGATGTTTCTAACTCTCAATCCCTGTCCCTTCCTCTCTGTAAAAAATCAATAAAATATACTTTTTAAAAATATAAAAATCAATGGAAAAATATCCTCAGGTGAGGATTAACAACAACAAAAAACAAAAAAGAAAAAAAAATAGTAGCCAGTAAAAACTGGTAACCCGAATCCCAAATCACCCTTACCAATTTATTAAAAATGAGGTACCAAGGTCTCTTTTAGGTAATCCTCTTTAACCTAGTTTAAGTTGATGAGCTGCTTCAAAGTAATACTATTGCATTTCTCTGAAAACATTCTAGAATTCATCAACTCTAGTAAACTGACAAGACACCATCATTCAGGGAGCATGAGGTAGTGCCTTTAAGAGTGCACATTTTGTGAGAAAATGAGTAAAGCAACCAGTCTGCCTTTGTGACCCTAATCCTCATTGCTTTTCATTCATTTTCCTTATGTTTTCTTTCTCAAAAGCCTTAGAAAAGAATGGCTTAGTTCAAGTAACGCCCCCGGTAACACTGACCGTTTCCCAGGACAGGCCTCTAAGCTGAACGGCAGTCACCGAGTCTGATGAAAACTATGTAAAAGCACCACTTTGGCAATACAAAATCTCCAAGTGCTTATGTCAAAAGAAAAACTTACCGGAAGGAAGTACCTCCGGCATTTTTGCAGAGAAGTAAAATTTATACTGAATTTGTTACTTTAAAACATAGCTCTCTTCTTGCAGAATTACCCGTATACTTTGCGGCAGAGTCACTTCTGTTGCTCTGCAATGCTGGACGACACCCTGAGCCTCTTCCTGCGCTTTCAAATGGTCTGCCCAGGTAAAGGGTTGAGAAGAGGTGAAAAGGAGCCGAGTTTTAATGCTCCAGTCCACAGGTAACTCTGTACTTTCTGGGGAAGGCTTATCAGATTCGGAGAATGATCTGTGTGAAATCTTTTAGAAAACAAAGAACACAAAAATTAGTAGAGTAGCTAGGAAGAAACCTGCAATCTACAGATTTCATGAACACACACATGATCGCTGAAATGCCGAAATTTTAGAGAACGTGTAATAAGTAGCATAGGTAATATACACACCATGAAAAAGTCTGTGAACAGTAGTTATCTCTGGGAAGGAGGAATTTTTTGGAGGTGGTGGTGGTAGAGAGACAGAGTTCACTTTTTAGTGGAGATAGTTCTATACAGTTTAGTTACAAAAGGCATGTGCTGCCCAGCTGTGGGCTCAGTGGCTGAGCGGTCACGTATGAATCGGGAGGTCGCTGGTGCAATTCCCAGCCAGGGGATATGCCTGGGTGGTGGGCTCCATCCCCAGTGTGGGGCGCCAGGAAGCAGCCAATTGATGAACTTTCTTTCTCATCAGTGTTTCTCTCTATCCCTATCACTTCCTCTCTCTCTAAAAATCATTGAGAAAAAAATATACAAAAAGACATGTTGCCGAAACCGGTTTGGCTCAGTGGATAGAGCGTCCGCTTGCGGACTGAAAGGTCCCAGGTTCGATTCCGGTCAAGGGCATGTACCTGGGTTGCAGGCACATCCCCAGTAGGAGATGTGCAGGAGGCAGCTGATCAATGTTTCTCTCTCATCGATGTTTCTAACTCTCTATCTCTCCCTTCCTCTCTGTAAAAAATCAATAAAATATATTTAAAAAAAAAAAAGACATGTTATTTTCATGATCACAATTAAAGAAATAAAAACGATTACTAATGTTGCTATCAAAGCAGAAATCGTCTGAGTATTTTACAAACACCCTTTGAGCCACTCAAACTCTGAACCCGGGGCTAAGCTGCCCGTGGCTATGGAGAACACGTGGAACAATATTCTCACATCACGAGGACTTTCTCAGGTGATGTCACAAACACAGCAGGCAGAGGGGACATTTCCAGTAGATCCTGTGAAGGCCTTTTCTTTACCAGGAAGGGAGACTGGTCCTGGGGGCGAGCTCACTGTCTCAGGACCACTGTGCCCTGGTGGGACCATCACAGCACAAGGATGTGGGGAATGGAAGCGGGCTTGTGCATGTGTGTGTGCGTGTGCATGTGCGCGCGTGTGTGTGCATGTGTGGGTGCTTGTGCGTGTGCGAGTGGAGGGTAGCAGTGGTGGGGGTGTTAGCATCCTGTGGGGTAACGAGGGGACGAGAAGACTCCGTGAAAAGCTAAGTTCCCGCAGCGGCGGCATCCGCAGGGGGAGGGGGAGGACTGCGGGGCCAGGCGCCCACCCGCGCCCTCCGCCCCGCGAGGCGTCCGCTGGAGATGCACAGCCGATGGCCGAGGCGCTACCTGGAGGGAGTCGGCGGGCGCCGTTCCTTCGGGCTCCTCCTCCCGCAGCAGGTCCTGCTCCCGGCGAGAGCCTGGGGACTGGGCGGAAGGCGCCGAGTGAGCTGCCCGCGGGCACACGCTCCCCCAGCCCGTGCGGCCCCGCCCCGGCCGGCCTCCCGCTGCTCCGAGTCGGACGCGGACGGCCGAGGGCTCGGCATCCAGCACGGCCGCGCCGGCGCCGCGGAACGGCTCCAGGCTGCGGGGGAGGCGGGCACACGCGGCGCCGGGCCCCCGGGGGCTGCTCCCCTCCAGCCCCACGAGCGCTGCTGCCCGAGCGCCGCCCCCCTCGGCCCAGCGCGGAGCGCCCCGCACACCCGCGAGCCCCCCGACCGCCGGCCCCCACTCACCGGGCTCGGCGCCCGGGGCGGCCCGTCCTGAGGCTCCGCGGCGGCCCGCGGCCGGTTGTCCAGGCGGGCGAAGGGGTTCCTGCCCGGCGCGCCCGGGCCGCCGCCTCTGCCCGCCGCCGGATAGGGGCGCAGGGGCAGCCCGGCCGCCAGAGCGGCTCGGCGGGGCGCCGGCTCGGGCCGCCCCCCGGGGGAGAGCGCGGCCCCCAGGCTCCGGGCCCTCTTCCGCCGCAGCCGCAGGGTCTCGGGCGGCTTTTTGAAACTGGGCGAGTAGCCGGGCACCGAGAAGGCCATGGCGCGCGGCGGCCGCCCAGCACCGAGCGGCCACCACAGGCGCTTCCCGCGCGCGCCGGCCCCGCCCCGGCGTGGCCCCGCCCCCGTGGCGCGCGCGTGCGCCCTGGACCGCCCCGGCGTGGCCCCGCCCCCGCTGCGTGCGCAGCCGCCGGGCCTGCTGGTGCCGGGCGCCCCCTGGCGCTGCTGCGGTCGCGTCCGGTCGCCGGTGGAGCGGGCGCCGGCTGCACTCCCTGTGGACGGCGGGGAGTGACGAGCCCGGCCGCCGCCCGGGGAGGAGGAAACGCTAGGCGGGGGGAGGAGGGGACCGCAGCCGGCGAAAGGGCCTGGGTGCCCCTCCCGCAGACCGACCGACCGGCCGACGGGGCCCAGCCCGCCCTCGCTCCCCGCGCCGTGGGCGCCCGGGGCCTGAGGGCCGGGTCCTCGGAGGCAGGCGGAGACCCTAGACTAGAGGGTGAAGGACGCGCCGCGGTCCGCCGCCCGGACGGCGTGGGCGGGGCCGGCGCGCTGACAGGCAGCGCTGACGGCCTATCAGGAGGCAGCGTGGCTTTTTGCCCAAACTCGTGTTCTTCCTGGAAAGAAGGTTATCTCGGAGGCAGCTACATAAACACAGGCACTGAGACGACTTCCAGAATATTCCCTTCAGGTGTTAATTACAGACTTGTCTTGGCTGTTTGTACATTAACTTTTCAAATACGTTTCAGGTATTTAAAATAACCATCTCGTCTCAGATAGCAGGAAAACATGCTTAAAAAGGGAACAACTTGCTTTTATCTTCCTTGACTTTTCTGAACAATTTCCAAGGAAACTCTGGCTTCAAATACTGGAATGGGTTCATTCAACTGAGATCTGGGAGATAAAATTAAAACTGAACAACTTGCTTTTTTCTTCCTTGCTTTTTCTGAACACCTTCCATGGAGACTTTGGCCTCGTACGGCGGGATGGGTTCGTCCAGACGAGGCCTGCGGAAGAGAGATGATCAGACAAGCAGACACAGGCTGGGCGCGGAGACCTGCTTATGCCATCGCATCACTTTAAATAATGCGAACTTGTTCACTAGTGTGTCCACCATCAAAAGTCGTTAATTGTTTTTAAATGTTTTTATTGACTTAGAAACACTGATGTGAGCGAGGAGCGGGTGGCTGCCTCCTGCATCCCCGGGAGGTGTCTCACCCCCGATCCTGGGTTCGTGCTCGGCGGGAACTGAACCCGCGGCCCGGGTGCCCAGGATGACGGCCAGCTCCGCCGCTCCGGCCGACACAACTGGTTACATTTTAAAGGGGAAATCAGCTCCCTCTTTTTGATAAATAGATAAAAAACTTTAACTTTTCCCGCTTCTCAAGCTGTATTTCAGGTTGCTTTGGGAGGGGCGATGAGGTAGGTGTGGAACGGAGTGAGGAAAACTCAGGGACACTTACTGGTGTGTCACCCAGAGAAATGCTGACGCCCCCGCGGGCTTGGCTCAGTGGACAGAGCGTGGGCCTGCGGACTGAAGGGTCCGGGTTGGATCCCAGTCAAGGACACGTGCCCGGTTGCAGGCTCGATCCCCAGTGGGGGGCGTGCGGGAGGCAGCCGATCAATGTTTCTTTCTCATCATTGCTGTTTCTCTCTCTTTCCCTCTCCCTTCCTCTCTGAAATCAATAAAAAAATGTTAGAGAAATGTTAAGGAGCAGCTATTTAAACAAAATACTAAAATATGGAGGCAATAGGTGTGCTGTGAAAGCTGAAACAAAAATGCCAGCCTTATCCCCTTGAGAACAGAAAAATAAAGAACAATGATTTGATAATTCAGCGTACCTAAAAACACCAGTTGCTAACTTCTCCATCACATCTTTTAAGACACGTAGCTGGAAGAACAGTTAAGGTGGCAGTGTGAAAGACAGAAGTTTAAAGAAAAGCAATCAGCCGAAGATGCTAGGCAGTTCACTTTTTAAAAAAGTATTTGTACTCTCAAAATTAAAAAATGGTTACAGAAATTCTGTAAGCTGTCAAATTTCTCTAAAAAAAGAGGGGGTGGCGGGGAATGGGAAAAATGAGAGCGGTGGTGACGTAATAGAGCCTAAACTCCTAAAAACAAGTGACGACAGACGCAAGCCGACTGCCTGTCCTAAGGAATGACTAGGTGTTTTCCAAAGAGACGGTGATGGAATGGTGTCAGGGTTTCACTTTAGCACCACTTATGTGACTTTGTTAAAAACACCACTTACTGTGGGTGCACATTCATTTACGAAATGGCTATAGACTCCAAATTTGTGTGCACGAAAGTTAATAAACTGTGTGACATGCAACTAAGAGAGTCAGAAAACTAACATTTTAAGGAATCTAGTCATTTAATTGAAATTTGAATACTAGAATTGAGAGTCTATGTAATTGCTAGCACTGGAGAACTATTTATGATCATAATTGGAAGGAGAACTCTATGTTAAATCACAAGCAGCAACACCTGGGAGAGGCTTGCATAAGTGAGACTAAAGTCTGATTTAGGACTTGAGAAAATGTAAATTAAAAAATATGAACATAATACATTTTAAAGATTTTTTTAAGGGACCTAAAGAATATGGATTTTACTTATTTATACTATAAATTCTCTTTTTACTTCTGTTAATGAAATTGCCAACAGTATGCATAAGAGAGAGTGTGTCGTGTATTTTTGATTTTTGAAAACTTAACATCATTTCATTTAAGCGTGTTATGTGTCAACGTGGTCCCTGGGTTTGTTAAATAGGTTAAAATCATGTCTGGAGGGGAAGGGAGGGCAGCTGAGAGAATTAAGTGACAGGCTAAGCAGCCATCCTGTATTATGACATGTAAAATTCAAAATACTCTATTGCTTTTAATACATGCTGTTCCTCTGTTGTTAATACGTAATGGTATTCTTGATTACTATAATGTCATTGGACATTTAAGTTGCTTTAAATTGAAATTCAAACAAAATTCTTCTAGAAAGTTAAAGATTTAGTTTATTTTCTAAATTTGATAGGAAAATATTTAATCAGAAATAGTTTAATCTCATTCACTCGCTACATTAAGGGACTTTTCTGATTTTGAAATGTGCTCTTTAAAACTCAACTACGCACACACTAAGGAAACCCTATCTGAAGGCTCTGCACCCTTGGACTTGCTCCTAGACCAGTGATGGCGAACCTATGACATGCGTGTCAGAGGTGACACGCGAACTCATTTTTTTTGGTTGATTTTTTTCTTTGTTAAATGGCATTTAAATATATAAAATAAATATCAGAAATATGTCTTTGTTTTACTGTGGTTGCAAAGACCAAAAACTTTCTATATGTGACACGGAACCAGAGTTAAGTTAGGGTTTTTCAAAATGCTGACACGCCGAGCTCAGGAGGTTCGCCGTCACTGGCCTGGGGGGCTGCCCTTTGTACACGTCACTCGTGGAACTACACACTCTCAGCGCCACAGGAGAGGCAGCGAGGCCAGCATGGGGCTCTTCACGCACAAGGACACTATTAAGTTACGAGAACTTATTTTTTACCCAATTTCTTAAAAATTTTACCAAGTGCAGCTGCCTTTAGGACAGTCATCTTAGAAATAAGGGGTTTATCTGTAAGTTCACCTTGCTCTAAAGAGGTTTGGACCTTTCTTTTGGAACAGCTTTCAGATTCTCATGAAAACTTTTCATTACTTTTACTCAAACTAGAATGATTTGGCTTCCTTTGCCAGATTTGTCTCCAAGTAACTTGCATTTAAAAAAATCAAACTCATCCTCAGTTGATGAAGATTTCCTAGCATTGGTAATCTTAAAAACACCCCACAAACTCTTTAACTGAGACATGTGTTCTGAAACGTGTGCACAGTGGAGCCACCGTAGGTGTAAGAATGCCAGCTCTCACGGTGACGTGGAGTTTCCATAAGCCAGGGCCAAACCAAAACAAACTCGTCCATGGCACTACGGCTCATCTCCCATTCAGAAACACGCGAGACTGCCTGGGTACGATTCCGGCCCGGCCACTTGCTAGCTGAATCCCTGGGCTTGTATTAATTAACTTTTCTACAATTCAGTTCCTTCACCTGTGAACTAGGAATGCTAATACTATTACACCTCAGAGGGTGGTTTCAATATATAAGTAAATTAATACTTACACAGCCTGTGGAACATTGTTTGGCATGATGAATGAAAGTTAGCTATTATTTATTATTACCAATATTAAAGAACTTAATTATGATAATGCAAGGTAAATGTCAAGCCAGAAACTCAAGTCAGTAGAAAAAAAGGATATAAAGATATTTTCCTTGTTGTACATTTGACAAATTCCAAACTTCGTCGTTAAGGAAAGCCACCGTTGCTCCCTTGAGGAAGAGGCAGTGGCTATCTGGAGGATCCAGCTTGGACAGAATGCACAAAGACTGATCAGCACTGAGTTTAACAGCAGAAAGAGGGCTGGTATCTTGAGCCAGAAAAATTCTACACAAATTAAATAATACCCAAATCATAAATAACCAGCACACAAACTTAATAACAATCTGTGAATCATGTTTTCTTTTGCATTTCATTCTCCAAAATGATGAAATAGCAAGGTCACATGCAAGGCCAACCAGAAACCTGATGATGCAGTAGTGGAGTGTGTGTGTGTGTGTGTGTGTGTGTTAGATTTCTGGTTGCTACTTCCCAGTCATTTTCATGAGGGTGTCAGAAAATCATGAAGACTGGTATATGAAAATTATGGTATTTGCATATCAACCATGATAAAAATATTTAATTTCAATTCTATTAAGAAATGTATCTTTGGGAGACTGTATACCTGATATAATAGAAGTCTAATACGCAGATTGACCGAATGGCAGAACGACCAGTTGCTATGATGCGCACTGACTGCCAGGGGGCAGATGCTCAAGGCAGGAGCTGCCCCCTGGTGGTCAGTGTGCTCCCACAGGGGGAGCACTGCTCAGCCAGAAGCCAGGCTCATGGTTGGTAAGCACAGCTACAGTGGTGGGAGCCTCTCCCGCTTCTGCGGCAGCGCTAAGGAGCAATGAGCCAAGTGGTAAGGAGCAGCAAGGAGGCGGGCAGTAAGGAGCGAGGGGTCATGGACTGCAAGAGGGATGTCTGACTGCCGGCTTGGACAGACATTCCCGAGGGGTCCCAGACTGTGAGAGGGTGCAGGCCGGGCTGAGGGACCCACCCCCAGTGCATGAATTTCATGGACTGGGCCTCTAATAAATATAAATATATATATATATATATATATATATATATATATATATATATATATATATACACACACACACACACACACACACACACACTTTGGAGGCCTGGTGCATGAAATTAATGCATGGGGGGGGGGCGTCCCTCAGCCCGGCCTGCACCCTCTCACAATTCGGGGCCTCTTGGGGGATGTCCAACCGTTGGTTTAGGCCTGATTCCTGTGGGATTGGGCCTAAACCAGCAGTCGGACATCCCTCTCCCAATCTAGTACTGCTGGCTCCTAACTGCTTGCCTGCCTGCCTGATCGCCCCTAACCACCTCTGCCTGCCTGCCTGTTGCCCCTAACCAGTCACCTGCCTGCCTGATCACCCCTAACTGCTCACCTGCCAGCCTCATCACCGCTAACCGCTCATCTGCCTGACTCATCACCCCTAACCACTCGGCCTGCCTGCCTCATCGCCCCTAACCACTCGGCCTGCCTGCCTCATCGTCCCTAACCGCCTCTACCTGCCTGCCTAATTGCCCCTAACCACTTGCCTGCCTGCCTGATCACCCCTAACTGCTCACCAGTCTGCCTGATCACCCTAACCACTCTTCCTGCCTGCCTGATCACCCCTAATCGCCTCTGCCTCAGCCCCCACCACAGTGGCTTCATCTGGAAGGACATCTGGAAGGTTGTTCAGCTGTCCAGTCTAATTAGCATATTACGCTTTTATTATTATAGATACACACACACACACATATTCCAATTAGAACAATTAAGAAATTGTGATAATTTTATATAGAAATATTTTGCTAAGTATATGTCAGTGTTTGTTACTAAGAAAAAATCCTTGCTCTGGCTTGGTTGGTTGCAGCATTGGCCCGTACACCAAAAGGTTGCAGGTTTGATTCCCAGTCAGGGCACATATGGGAGGCAACCAATTGATGTTTCTCTTTCATATCAATGTTTCTCTCTTTCCCTTCCTCTCTCTCTCAAATCAATAAAAAAAAACATATCCTTGGGTGAGGATTAAAAAAACCCTATTTCAAATATTATTAAATTCAGAAGTCACTGCATCCAAACTCCTAAATAAGTTAAATGAACTCCTCTACTAGGCACTTTTCAACATTTTGGCCAACATGTAGCTAAAGTGTAAAAACTACCTTTCTTTAAAAAAAATAGGGTATAATTCAGAATTTACACAAATTTGGCCACATTTTGCCTTCAAAGACTTAGGCATTATTCTTTGTTAACTGTATCCTTTTGGTGGAAGAGTCATACTTTACTGTTTCTAGTCATACCTGCAGGTTTTCTTCTGTCGTCACCCAATGGCCTCCGACACCCAGAAGTGTGAGGATATCATGCTTATGTGGTAGTAGTTGTAATTCTGCAGCCGGTTCATCATCTTCACTATATAATCTCACTTACAAGGGAATAGTTAAAAAAGAGAGTAAAGAAATACATATTTTAGTCATCTGATGAAAATTTATTCTTCAAACAAGTTCTTTCCTTTTTAATGTAGGAATGAGAAAGCATTTCTTTAAGGAAAAGTCAACACAATGTATTCAGACACCTTAAAAATATACTTTTGCATTAAAACTGGTCATAAACTTTACTCCAGATTTAATTATAAGTGAAATAACTAAAGAAAAATAGTGTTTTTCAGCCCTGGCTGGTTTGGTTCAGTAGATAGAGCATTGGCCCTTGGACAGAAGGGCCAAGGGTTTGATTCTGGCCAAGGGTACGTACCTCAGTTGCAGATCCCCAGTTGCAGACCCCCAACCAGGTGCATGTGGAAGGCTCTCACATCAATGTTTCTCTCTCTATGTCTCTCCCACTCCCTTCCACTCTCTAAAAATCAATGGAAAAATATCCTTGGGTGAGGATTAACAAAAAAAAAAAAACAACAACAAAAAGTAAAACAACTACGAAGAAAGTCTTTTTTTCATTTGAGAACCAGGCAAGGTAATGCAACATGGAACTAAGTCTGATAGTTTTAACCATAACATCAGTCGCTTGATACTTTGGGAAACGTTGACCTCTGATTAAGGAATGCACAGACTCAAGATGGTCATACTTTGACATAATTATTGGAATTTCAACTTGAGAAGCTAAGGAAGTATACATTCGCTTCCACTGAAAGATTTTTTTGGAGTGAATTTAAAATCCTGAAAATACTGGCAAAAAGAAACACATATGATGGCCGCATGTAGCTGTATTCGCCGTGATTCTCACGGGAGAGGGTAAATTCTAACGAAGCGTAAGCAGAATGCCTTTGCAGATGGTAAAACCTACCCTTTAGGTGAGATGGCCCGACCTAACTGTACAAATTAGGTGCTAAACAGCACAAACGCAAGGAGGGTGAGAGTGGGACAGAATTCTCTTCGATTTCCAAACAGAGACTGTGTAAGTCAGCCAGCCAGCAGAGGCCGGAACTAGCAAAAGCATCTGGCTGAGACTAAACTAATGTGTATCGTGTGGGAACCATGGAAGAGATCATGTTTGTAGATTCTTGTAGGGATACTTCAATCCAATGCCTATACTTTATTTATTTTTTTTAAATATATTTTATTGATTTTTCACAGAGAGGAAGGGAGAGAGATAGAGAGAGTTAGGAACATCGATGAGAGAGAAACATCGATCAGCTGCCTCTTGCACATCTCCTACTGGGGATGTGCCCGCAACCCAGGTACATGCCCTTGACCGGAATCGAACCCGGGACCTCTCAGTCCGCAGGCTGACGCTATCCACTGAGCCAAACCGGTTTCGGCATCAATGCCTATACTTTAAAAGGCAAGCATGCTCTCTCTTCCAGACAGAGTTTACAATGGGATAAATTGAAGAAGTGCCAATTTAAATATGAAAGTTTAAAAGAACCCAAAACTAAACAGCAACTTAATAAATATGTTAAAAATTATTTCCTGAAAAAAAAATGTATTTAAAAAAATAATATAAATATAAATATAAATAAATAAATAAATATATATATATATATATATATATATATATATATATATATATATTGATTGACTTCAGAGAGGAAGGGAGAAGGAGAGAGATAGAAACATCAATGATGAAAGAGAATCATTGATTGGCTGCCTTCTGCACACCCCAAACTGGGGATTGAGTCTGCAACCTGGGCATGTGCCCTCGACCAGAATCGAACCTGAGCCCTTCAGTCTGCAGGACAATGCTCTATCCACTGAGCCAAACCAGGTGAGGCTGTTTTGTTTTTCTTAAAATTCAGCCATGACTACAATTGCACAGACTACTGATTCAGTAAAGCACCTACCTCCCGCGTCCAGGACAATGTCGACTCCCAGGCCACCTGTTTCTTCTAAACAGCTTTCAGCAACATGGGCTTTCCCGCCGGACACGTCGATCACTCGGGCTGCAAAGGACAGGAAGTCAGGCAACTGCACTGCTCTCTATGTGATCAACGCCAGCCAGAGGGAGAGCAAGAGCAAACATCTGCTCTGGAATGAATTAACTGGTTCCAACAATTACTGAATCCAAATGATACTTTTTTCTCATCTAACCTGATATTGGTAAGGATCCATTTAAACGAAGGGACTGGCATATTCAATAAAATAAAATATAAGCATTTTGTGGCTAGCGTGTCCCAAGGCTAGTCTATTTACACAGGAGACTGTTCTCTGTACCTTATATTGCCAGAACTGAGAACCTATAAAACCAGAGGTAAATATACATTAAGACATGATCTGAAAGATTAAGTAATTTTTAAGTATGTTCAGATTTAATGGAGTTTAGAGCTAACCAGTACAAAATCTATTTGGGCGACATGATATTTCTCTATTAGAGGCTGTTTTCTTCTTTCTCAGTCACAGAACTCCCCGCACCTCCCCTACCTGCTGTTTCCCGTTAGCCATAGGGCTGTTGCGGACTCAGCGATGTTATCCATACTAACACCAACAACCACTGCCTGCCTGCCTGCCTGCCGCTCAGTTACACTCCGCCCGTCCTCTTTCTCTTCATCTGTTAAACTCCCGTTCACTCTGTGACTCCAGTCTATTAAATTCCATTCCTCTCTTTCTCTTTTCCTTTTTCAATCTATTGCCTTTCTCCACTTGCTGTCCAGATAAGTTCACTCTTTTCAAGGGCTCTGAGTCTCCTCCACGCCCTGTTCATCATAAACTCTATCTGATGTGTGCTTCTGTATACGCGGCCATCCCCTTCCTAGAATATCACAGAAAACAGACAACTTTAGAGGTAAACCACTGGGTAAGGCCAGCGGAGAAACATACCAAGGATGCAAAATACACTGATTTATTAACTGAAACCAAAGAGGCACCAGGTATTTCTAAATTGTTTCAAAGTTCACCTCATTCAAACTTGGCTAAGTTGATAACAATGGGACAAAGAAGAAGAAAAAACATTGAAAAAAAAATAGGTTTAAAAAACAAAATAATTAGCCCTCAGTGCAGCCGTGGGCAAACTACCGCCCATGGGCCGGATCCGGCCGTTTGAAATGAATAAAACTAAAAAAAAAAAAAAAAGACCGTACCCTTTTATATAATGATGTTTACTTTGAATTTATATTAGTTCACACAAACACTCCATCCATGCTTTTGTTCCGGCCTCCGGTCCAGTTTAAGAACCCATTGTGGCCCTCGAGTCAAAAAGTTTGCCCACCTCTGGCTCAGTAGATAGCGCATCGGCCTGCGGACTCAAAGGCCCCAGGTTTGATTCCGGCCAAGGGCATGTACCTTGGTTGCGGGCACATCCCCAGTAGGGAGTGTGCAGGAGGCAGCTGATCGATGTTTCTCATCGATGTTTCTGGCTATCTCTCTCCCTTCCTCTCTGTAAAAAAATCAATTAAAATATATTAAAAACAAAACAATTCATTAAAACTATTACTTGAGTAAACTTAGATTTAGCACAGACACTAAGTGCATTTTAAAAGGTGCTGCGCCTTCCAGGTTTTGTTTGAAAGTCTGTGTTGAGTGGGGTTACCCACCGAGAGCAGGCCTGAGTCCTTCCAGGTACTGCCTGTCTTCCGGGCTGCACGCTGTGGAAATCACTTTGGCTCCTCTGTGATGCGCCAACTGAATAGCTATTGTCCCGAGCGCCTGTGTGGGAAAATACACACAGTAGCTCACACACATAGGGCAGAGGCCACCTCTAAATTGTCTTACAGGCTGTTCAATAAAGTGTAAGACGTTAGTGGTACTTCAGTATATTTTTAAATGTTATCTGACAGCAGAGGGAAAACAATACGGAGAAGCTAAGTAGGATTAACCAGCTGATTGACTTCCTTCCTCAAAGGGGGTAGAGAGCCGCTTGGTCCCCATGCTCTCACCCAGTCTCACCAGAACAAATGCCTTCCAGGATGGAGCTGAGTTAGAAAGCAGCTTTGGGATGAGAAAAAGGGCCTTTCAGGGGCTTCTGCAAGTCCAGGGAGCACTCGGGAGGGTCATGGCACTTCAACCCTCCGTCCTTTCTTTTGCTGACCTGGGGGGCAAGTTCCGGGAAGTTCTGCTGTCCCGGTGTTAACACCAGGCTGAAAGCACTGCTGAGGACAGTTCTGGCTTTTTTCAAAGAGAAGCATTTCAGCAACAGCCAGATAGAAAGTAAAACTGTGAAAGCACCCAGGTTTTGTAACATTTGTATAATTTATATGTATACATACATATTTTAATCCTCACCTGAAGGATATGTTTTTATTGATTTTAGAGAAAGAGAGGGAGAAGGGAGAGGGAAGGAGGGAGGAAGAGAGAGAGAGAGAGAGAGAGAGAGAGAGAGAGAGAGAGAGAGAGAGAGAGAAACATGGATGTGAGAACTATCCATCGGTTGCCTCCTGTACGCCCCTGACTGGGGATCAAACCTGAAATCTAAGTATGTGCCCTAACCAGGAATTGAACCCACAACATTTTGGTGTATGGGATGATGTTCCAACCAACTGAGCCGCCCGGCCAGGGCAGATTATAATATGATTTTATGTATTTGTTTTTAGTGTAGAATTATTTTTTTGATGATGCAGGTAAAATGTTTAAAGTAGCACATATTTGCATCTATAAATGCAACACCTTGTTAACATAAGTGTAAATGTGAGGGATATGATATGAAGTTGGTAGGGAGTTCTGAGGTATGGCTTCAAAGACTTCATGAGCTATTTCAGGCTTTGTGTGACTGGCATGAAAATATTTGTTTGCTTTTGTAATTACTAGCACATTCAAAGTAAGAAACACAGCAAGTCTAACTTTTATCTTATTGATAAAAGCTGCTTATTTTCACAAAATAGGAATTTGGTAAAAAATATAAAAATCAGTGACTAAGCTACTGGCAAAGAGTTATGCTAGTAAATGGAGGGCCCGTTCCCACGTTGCTGTGCTTTGGCCTGTTTCTGAGCAAACTGTTAGCACCTACGCTGGCTCCGTCCATGATCAGCACCCACTTCCCGGGGGAGAGCCGCGAAAGGTAGTGCAGAGCGGTGTAGGCTCGCACCCCGTCCCCAACGGTCCCAGCGGCTTCTGTCCACGACACTTTTTCTGGCTTGTGAACTATCACAGAGAACAGGAAACAATCCGTTAGCAAGTCCCGTGGGCGTTGGCTCCTGGGCCTGGGCATTCCCACCAGGGCCCTGGTCCTGCTCCACCCCTACCGCGCGGTTTTCCTGCCTCCGTCCCGCCCAAGCGTAAGCCCTCACCCAGAGCCTCGTCTTCCACCAGAGGTCACTTCTCTTTTTAAATTGATATGATTGACATCAGAGGTCACCACCATCCTGACTTAATTTCTCACTTGCTTCCATAGTTTAGTGCTCCAGTATTCATTCCTAAATAAGGTAACTCAGCTCTGCCTGGTTTTAAGCTTTACCTAGATGCAGCCATATCCATATGCATTATTTTCTGTCTTGCTTTTTATGCTCGACATTGTTTTTAACACACTCCTACTTTGGTTATCTGTTCTCGTGAGGAGCATCTGTGTGGTGTCCAGCTTGGGGCAGTGATAAACAGAGCTCTTGTGGGAAAGATAGTGCTACACGGGTGCCCACTGCCTCTAGGCCAGCGGTTCTCAGCCTGTGGGTCGCGACCCCTTTGGCGGTCGAACAACCCTTCCACAGGGGTCGCCTAAGACCATCCTGCATATCAGATATTTACATGACGATTCATAACAGTAGCAACATGACAGTTATGAAGTAGCAACGAAAATAATGTTATGGTTGGGTCACAACGTGAGGAACTGTATTTAAAGGGCCAGAAGGTTGAGAACCACTGCTCTAGGCTGTTCTCTTAGGAACAGAACCCTCAGGTCCCGGGTTACCTGCCACTTTACCACACCCGCCCAAGGGCCTGTGTGATCTCCTCTCCCACAGCTGTGAACTAGGTAAAGTGAGAAAGGATTGCTTGTGCTGTGAAAAGGCATTAAAACAGCCAAACATACTAAGCTAATCAGCACGTCATTAGTCATGTGCTACAGTCTGATGCTGCCACCATCCTCGGAGCCTTGGCATGAGTGTACATTCCTACCATCAGGTGGGTGTGGAGAGGTTTTCCTCGGATTTTAATTTGCTTTTCCCCAATACTGAGGAAGGCGAGCGTCTTGCCGTGTTTCTTGGCCATTTGTTCAAGTGTTTCATCAATTTTTCTTTGTATTGTCTTTTTCTCATTGATTATAGGAGTTTTTTGTGTATTCTAGATGAATTATTTGTTTATGCCTTATAAATATTATTTTCAACTCTGGCTTCTCTTTTCAATCTTTTTAAGTGTCTTTGAAAAATAGAAATGAATCAGAATGATCTTTTAAAACATAAATAACATCCTAACACTTCTCTGCTTGGATGTCATCCATGGCTTTCCACTGCATGGGAACAAATGCAAACTTCTAATACAATTTATTTTTAATTTAAAAATTTTTTTAATGTATTGATTTTGAGAGAGAGAAACATGGATTTGTTGTTCCACTTATTTATGCATTTATTGGTTGATCCTGGTATGTGCCCTGACCAGGGGACCGAACCTGCAACCTTTGCATTGGTTAGGATGACACTCTACCCAAGTGAGCAACCCGGCCAGAGAGCTCTATTGAGCTGACCATCAAGCTGCTCCTCATGTTTCATTATTGAATGTTTGTTTTGTCTTTATTTTGTACACTGAATGTGATCTTTTCACAGTGCAATCAATCCTTTCTCACTTTACCTCAAAACTTGTTTTATAACACTTTTCATAGCCTCTACCAGCTCTCTTAAATATGTTTCCTCCAATGGCAACGTCCTCATTGCTTTTACCAACAACTAGTGCCATCTAGTGGGGAAGCCGAGCATCCAAATATACATGTTGAAAATGTTACAACAGACAAGCAAGGTGGTGAAACAGCAAAACATAAGCTAATGAGCATGTAATTTATCATGTGTTACATAACGATGTTTGTCACCAATGGGTCACATATATGACGATGGGATCACATATAATCACATAAAATTATAATGGAGCTGAAAAATTCCTACTGCACAGTGCCCGCTTACAAAACCCATTCCTCACGTTTGTGGTGATGCTGGTGTAAACAAATCCAGCACACTGCCAGGTATATAAAAGTACAGCGTAGCCCTGGCCGGTTGCTTAGTGGTTAGAGCACGGACACACAGACCTAAGGGTCTCAGGTTCGATTCCCAGTCAAGGGCATATACCTCGGTTTGATCTTTGGCCCCAGTAGGGGGTTCGTGTGGGAGGCAACCAATTGATGGGACTCTCTCATGTCGATGTCTCTCCCCCCCCCCCCCCCCGCCCATCTCTGTCTCTCTCTCTCTACCTCTCTAAAAATCAATGGAAAAAATATCCTCAGGTGAGGATTAAAAAAAACACTAGACTGCGATGATGGGTGTATAACTCTTTAAATATATTAAAAACCACAGACTCCTACACTTTAAATGGATGCATTATATGGTATGTGGTTTAAATCTGGCTAAAGGATGAGTGTGCATCCTTTTAGCCAGATTTTGACAGACCCAGATTCCTGTTCTGTACTTAAATTCCAAAAGATAGAAGAAAAAGTACAGCACATACAGTATGTACAGTACACCACACTGGATAATAACAACTATGTTGGTTTAGGTATTTACTATTTTTTAATTGTTATTTTAGAGTGAACTCTTTCTACGTATAAAAAAAATTTGCTGTAAAGTAGTATGCTATGTATATCTGCAGCAGCCTCGTACACCTCGTGCTTACCACGTCTCTTGACTGCATCATGTTATCTTGTGCTTGACGTGATCTCATGTTTTGTAAAGTGACGTGCTGTACAGGCTTGTGGCCCGGGAGCAATGGCTGCTCCTGCCACACAGCCCAGGTGTGTAGAGGGCCATGCCATCCAGTGTGTGTCAGAGCCTCTGGGATGTCCGCCTGACAGTGCACTTGCCTCATTTCTCAGGTTGTATCCCCCTTGTTAAGTGGTGCATGACTATAATTAATTTGTTTGAGACCATGTTGCTAACAGTTTGAATGTCAGACATTCCATGGCTGATACGTAGACAGGCCATCTTGAGGGCACCTAGGTTCCTCCATTAGTGCTTGTTTAGTTTACACACAACTTACTTACATGGAATTTTGGGGAACACGTTCCATCTTAATAATTGGGATTACCATTTTCATTAAAAAAACCCACACAAGTGGTCCTTAAAAAAATACTAACAGTAATACAATTATATTTAAGATCACAATGGCTCTGAAATTGCATTGTTAGATAATGCTAAATCATTTTCTGTGCATTTGTACCAATTTATGCTTTTATGTGCATAAAAGGTCCCACTGCTGCACATCCTTGCTGACCCTCGGAATGGTCAGATTTTATAACTGTCCGTCCTGTGGTGCATAATGACATCTCTAAGTGGTTTTAATTCGCTTTTCCCTGATTGCTAAGGAGATGCCATGACTTTTCACAATGGCTTCATGCAATATGTCTGTGTTTATATTTATTTTAATTTAAATATTCAAGTAAATTAATATAAGAAAAATTAAAAATTAACATTTCACTTAAACTGAACACTTATCAAAATATATTAGCAATAGCAACCAAAGACAAGTGTTCTTGGTTCTTTCCTGTTTCAGACTCTGCATGGATTTTCTGATTTAAAAAGAAATTTGATTTGTTGATTTTCGAGGGAGACATCGGTTTATTGTTCCACTTAGTTATGCATTCATTGGTTGATTCTTGTACGGGCCCTGCCCGGAGATCGAACCTGCAACCTTGGTCTATTGGGATGCGCTCTAACCAACTGAGCTAACTGGCCAGGGCTAAAATTAATTGTAAATGAACATTTCCAATTTCAATGAATAACCAAGCATAAAAAAATATAATTTCTTTTATTGGGAATATAATTTTAGAGAGAGAAACTTCTTTTCAAACCTCTCACCAGGAGCCGTGTGAATGAAACTTAAAGGTCTCTATACTGTTTAGTATGAGTATAAATTTTACGATACGAAATTATAAACTCGAGGTAGTCACATGACCAGCCAACAGTTATTTCCTATGTACGCTCACAGGAGAGGCAAAGAAATGACGATGTTGCTACACACACCAGCGAAGTGAGAACTATTGAACCCCAAGCCTGAACTGCACATACCCAAGTAGTGCTCGTGCACCCGCACAGCCTCACAGAGTCCAGGGTCTTCCGAATCCAGGGGTAGGATCCCTGAAAGGAAACAATATTTAAACTGAAGTAAATATAAACACAGACATGCTGCATAGGGCGACACCGAGGGAAACCATCTCCGAGTGAGCGGCTTCATTGTCAGGAGCGGCCGGCGTTACTCTCATGGCCGACTTCGGCGCATGGGCCATGAAGTTTCAATCGCACTGTACGTGCGCGCCCGGACGTGGCATTTTGTGGAAGAGCCACACTCAAGGGGCCAAAGAGCCACATGTGGCTCGCAAGCCGCAGTTTGCCGACCACTGGTCTAGGACATATGTAAAGCGTGTTTGTGTGTGTGTATATGTAAAATAGTATTAACTATGGATTTTAAAGAATAGTAAATGAAATGTCCCCAGTAAATTCTAGCTTTCTAAGAGCAGTGAGGGAGAGGTCCCGTACAATTCCAGTTGAGGTGCAGAGGGAGCTTCTCTAGAGCCAGGTTGGTCGTGCAGATGACCTATGACCTTTCTCCAGAGTCTACAGGTCTGTCAGCCCAGGGCTGCGCCAAGCACAGTAACAATGGCCTTCTTTTTATCTCATATTGACTTACAGCCAAATACGGAAACGTTTCCAGTGCTCTGCTGTGAGATCAAACTCCCGATTCCCTTCATCAATGGACTTTTGAGAGCAAATTCCACAAATCAGGAAAGTACTTGTATATGAAGCAAGGTCACAGCAAACATTAATAACTGTACAGAGAAAAGGGAGATGATAGTAAAATAGACAACTTACCGACTACTTCATCATCAGGTTGAAAAAATGATACCTTACTTCCAACTAAAGCATAGAGAAAATTAATAATTAATATTGTGAGGTTATTAAATATCATTCTTATTTAACTATTAAAATAAAAAGGCCCATGGGTTTATAAACAGTTGCTAACTCAGAGAAAAGGCCAAGAATGTGCAGGACATTTTGATGGTCTATAGAGACTGTTGGATAGAACGTTTCAAATCTGGATTCCCATCCTGGCCCGGTGGCTCCGCTGGTTAGACCATGTTGCCAAGGTTTGGGGTTTGATTCCTGGTCAGGGCACACACAAGACCCGACCAATGAATGCACAAGTAAGTGGCACAACAAATTGATGTCTCTCTCTCTCAATTCAGTCAATACAATTTTTTTAAAATACAGATTCTTTACAAAATTTTCTACAAAATCGGGGCCATATGGCTGTTGACAGCACAGAGAAGAACGTCTCTCTATTTCGGATTAAGGAATACAGGGAAACAGTCCGCCTCACAGCTCCCATGATGGTCACACGGCTTCCCACCCTTAGCCCAAGTTCCCATCGTTATTTCAGTTGCAGAATCTCAGACACACACGGGAAATTGTGGTAAGAGTCACATCGGAAGTTACTTTGATTTGGAATGATGGAAATGAACTCCAGGTGGTGCCCAGAACATTTTGGGACTGCACAGAAATGAGAGTGACACTTTCGGCACACGCAGAGAAAAAGCCTCTACTGTCAGCCAGTTCTTTAGAATATTTTTGTTCAAATAGTTATGAGAGGAAACGCCACTAATGCCCACTGTGTGCAGCATTCTCTGACATCACACTTCATCTTCACAGCATCACTAGACCTTCTCCTTCCAGGCTCACAGGGGAGCAAACGGCTGAGCCTGAGCCGTGAGGGAGGCGGGATCTGACATCTGCAGGGGACGCTGGCGGGCTCCGTCTGATGTTCCCGTGGCCAGCCCCCTTGCTCCCGGTTCTTGGCTCCTCCCTGGCCATCCTCCTGCAGTAGCTGTGCCTGCTGGGCCACCGTACTTTTCCTTGACTGTTGCCCGAATTAGCATTCCCAAGGGTTCCATGCTTATGCATATGTCCCTTCTCCATTGCTTCTACCCGCCCCCCCCATGAGTTCACCAGCTTTATTACTTCAAATATAAGTACATGCTGACACCTCTCAAATACGTGCACTTCCTGCACAGTCTCACCTTTGAGCTTAAGTCACAGTCCTGCTCACTAGCTATCTCCAGGGGATATCACTTACGTACCTTGAGCTCAACAACCATAAATCTAAACTTTCCGTCTTCCTCCTAATAAAATCCTCTCCCCTTATCAACTGGTGGCACCAATTCATAGCTTAGCCAGAACCCTGGGAGTCACTCCTGGCTCTTGCCTGCTTTTAATTCCCGTTCCAGTCAATCATTAAGCCATGCTGACTCCTCCTCAGTATTTCTTGCCTATGTACGTCTTCACCTTTGCCACCAAAGCCTCGGTCATGGACTCCGTCGTCTCTTGGCTATTGGTCTACAACCCAACCAGCCCTCCTACCTCCAGCCCGGGCTGCCTGCAGTCCACCCTTATGTGGCTGCTCCAACAACCTCCCGTGCAACCCAGGCTGACATAGGAGGCTCTGCCTGGGCCTGGCCCTTGCCTACCCTCATGCCTCGTTTCCCCCCCATTTCTTTTTTTTTTAATATATTTTACTGATTTCCTACAGAGAGGAAGGGAGAGGGATAGAGAATGTACATGCCCTTGACCGGAATTGAACCTGGGCCCCTTCAGTCTGCAGGCCGATGCTCTATCCACTGAGCCAAACCGGTTAGGGCTCCCCCATTTCTTTTTAATCCTCATCTGAGGATATGTTTATTGATTTTAGAGAGAGAGGAAGAGAGAGAGAAAAAAAACATTGATGTGAGAGAAACATCAATCGGTTGTCTCCTATACTCACCCCAACTGGGGGTCGAACCCGAAACCTCGGTCTGTGCCCTCACTGGGAGTTGCACCTGCCACCTCTAGGTGCACGGGACCATGCTCAGCCCAGCGAGCCACCCGCCAGGGCCGGAGGAGTCAGCGTCCATATCATCATTGAAGTATCAGGGTTGCTACCTTTTACTCTTCTGCTGCAAGGATTTTCTTGACAAAATGTCTCTGTGCCAAGTATCTTAGCCCAACACCAAACTCTGCCATTCTCGCCTTTTCTTTAGTCCTTAGTACACGACATGACTCGCCTCTGCCTGCGCTCAGGGCCCCTCCCTGAGCGACCTCCTGCCGCCCGCGCTCTCCCGCTCACTCCCAGGAGCCTCCCCTGCTTCTCGCTGGGCTGGCCCCAGTCCTCGGACCTTCCCTTCGCAGCGCTCCACTCAGGCGCGTCTGTCTCTCCCCTACGTTATGAACACTTCATTTTTGGCAATCCAGAAAAAGATTAGAGGATATTTTTCCCCATTGATATTTTAGAGAGCGTGGAAGTGAGGGGGCTGAGAGGGGAGAGAAAGATGATGTGAGAGAGACACATCGACCGGTTGCCTCCAGCACGTGCCCAACCCGGCAGGGGGAAGGAGGGGCTGGTGCACAGGCCGATGCGCTAACCACTGAGCACACAGGTCAGGGCTAGATTATGAACCCTTTGAGGGTAGGGACTCTATCTTATTCATCTTCAGATACCAAGCACTTAGCAAGTGCTCGTTAAATATGGAATAAATGAATAAATCAATGATTACTCATCTTCTGGCCATTATAATTCTTATTTTTATTTTCTTACAGTGTGCGCAGAAGAAAGGAGAGGGAATGAAATTATGATTTAGCTGTTAGATTACATTGAGAAAGAATCAAATTTATTATGATTAAATATTTAAATAAAATTACAGGCAAAACTCAAATAGTCAAACCCACTGTATTCCATGCTCATTCACGCACATGCAGAAAGAGCAGCCATATACTCACTGATCACGAACTACCCATTAGCAGCGAACATGAACGGCTGGTCTACTTAGAAACAAACTATTTCCAGTCCTTAGCTTCCTGTCCTGCATGCTAACACCATTATTTACGACATAAAACTTAACCATTTTTTGAGTTAAAGCAATCATAAAATCTTACTGATTATTTCTTCCCAGAACCCATTTTTATTAATTTATTTATTTATTTTAAAAAATATTTTATTGATTTCAGAGAGGAAGGGAGAGGGAGAGAGAGACAGAAACATCAATGATGAGAGAGAATCACTGACCGGCTGCCTCCTGCATGCCCCCCACTCGGGATCGAGCCTGCAACCCGGGCCTGTGCCCTGACCCGGAATCGAACCCTGACCTCCTGGTTCATAAGTCGATGCTCAACCACTAAGCCACCCCAGCCAGGGCAGAACTTATTTTTAGATGAGCAAAATGCTTAACTTTTAAATGATCAATTTTACACAAACTTTAAAATTTAATGTCAATGTAGTTACTATTATGTAAATTTGGTCCAAAAGCCAATGTACAGAAGTGCTTTATGCTGGTTTGTAAACAACATTGGTCATTCTATTCAGTACGATTGCTGATAGATTGAAATACATAATCCCTAAATATTTACTGAAGTATAATAAGCTCTTTAATTATAAAACACCAATTAATTTCTATTTTTCTTTTTAATTTAAAAAAGAAAAACATTTCTGTATAATTACATTTCCTATTTGAAGACGAGTGTATGATTTTATGTGCCAGTTCCCAATTAGCTGCCATGTAATTCTTTTACCTTAGAAAACAGATACAGGTATTTACATCTGAAAACTTACCATCTAACACAATTCCAGCAATTTCTCTCCCAACGGGAAAGAAATCCTTCTCCATCTTCATCTCTGCCAGAAGCTGAATCATGACAAAGGCCATTTATTGTCAAAAGTAAATCCTGGCTTCTTACACCAGAGGGAAGCAAGAGCACAAATCAAACCACAAAAAAAGCAAATAGGATTCAATATTTGGAATAAAGCCAAAACAAATAGCTTCACAAGAGAGGTTTCTCGTTAGAGTAAGAATTGGCTGTTATGTAGGAATTAGGTCTGAGTATCATTATTCCAATCACCATTAACATACTTTGTTTAACATCTTTCTTCTGCCAAGTATAAAGGGAAAATATGTCCCAAATTTACCAGTCGGCTCGTGAAGATGGGGGAGGGAGCTGGGAATGGGGGTGAGGCTGCTGAGAACAAAGGGTCTCCTTCCCACAGCCTTTAAACCCCCGGGTGTTTCTCACAGGTCTTGGGTTAAGAAGCAGGTGGGAAGAGGTGATAGATATACTTAGGAAAATTGCCATTTATTTTCAATTTGGAATTTTTAAAAAAGAATAAATTATTTATTTTTGAGAGAGAGATTAGTGTTTTGTTAATATTCTGGCCAAACTGAGTACTTGACTTCTGAAGTGGCAGAGTATATATACAGATAAGCCTGGAGTTTAAGTTCCTGCCATTTATACTTTTACTAGAGGCCCGACGCACGAAATTTGTGCAAGAGCAGGCCTTCCTTCCCCTGGCTGCCGGCACCGGCTTCCCTCCGGCACCCGGGACCCGGGCTTCCCTCACAGCCCTGGCTTTGTCCAGAAGGTCGTCCGGAAGGACCTCCTAAAGGACATCTGGTCTAATTAGCATATTAAGCTTTTATTATTATAGATAATAATACCAGAGCAATGGAACATATTTGTAGGTATCATAGTATTTTAGGAATAGTAAGTAAAAAGAAATTGAAATAATTCTCTTGTATATATTTTTTTATCAGTATTTAGATCAGTATTTAGATCTCCTATATAAGACCTCCTGCCTGGTTGCCAGAAAAATCTTTCAATGTGGAACTTTGTACTTTTGCTAAGATGACAACATGACACTCTTACAGAAATACTGGATGTTTCTTTTTACATGGTTTCTTTTATGCACTCTTGTACAGAGCTATAATCATGGTTATAGCAACTGCCTCCTGCCTCCGTCACCTACCATAAGCGTTTCGTACATCGCTACACATTTTCATAACCGTGATGTTTAGTAGTTGTGCAATATTCCATTGAATTCACTTTCCTATTTCTATTAGACATGAGATAATTTCCTAGCCTCGGATTTTCCCCTCTTTTCCACCTGCTCCGTCTTTTATATCTTTTCCTGCTTTACTGCCCCATCAAGGCCTCCATCTCCCAAAGAGGCTCAGCAGAGGCTGTGGTCGAAGCCCGGTTCGTCCTTTCCCTCCTGGTCCCAGACTGGGACTGTCATGCATTTTCCATCGTGTAAAAAGGACGGCGTGGAAGGGCTGAGCGCAGAGCCCCGCAGACAAGGAGCAGTCCTCCTTTCCTGCTCAGAGGGCTGCACAGCAGCCTCCCTTCTCAAGTCGTGCTCAGGGAACAGAGCAGCCAGGGGAAGCTTATGACTTTGTTCTGTAATCTCCCTACATGTGGCTTCATTGCAGAAAACTTTGATTCCTAGAAATTATGGTGACATTATTATCCAATAATTTAAGGGCCCAATAAAACTTTGGTATTGATTTTTACAAAACAGAGTAAATGGCCCCGCTATGTCTATCATAGCACACTCAACCACAGCTTACCATTTGAAAACTGATCATGTATTTCATGGTCAATAATGGAAGATGACTAGGGGTAGTGAGAGGCTGGGGATGTGTATGCAGGAGAGAAAGACAAAGAGAAATGATAAGAATATGAACTCTATCTAAAGATGTTAACTAGAAATATCTATAGAATAGACAGTTAATAAATTAGTTGATTCAATTTCTATATTTTTACTATATTTATAAAAGCATTTTCTTCCTTGATTATAGGCCTTAGTAATTATAAATTCTCAGCCTTTCACAATGTAAAGGAGCTTCTAAGTTATTTTCCAATAATAATGTAAAATTCATAACTTCAATTAGACCAGCGGTTTGCAACCTGTGGGTCGCGACCCCTTTGGCGGTCGAAAGACCCTTTCACAGGGGTCGCTTAAGACCATCGGAAAACACATATATAATTACATATTGTTTTTGTGATTAATCACTGTGCTTTAATTATGTTCAATTTGTAACCATGAAATTGGGGGTCACCACAACGTGAGGAGCTGTATTAAAGGGTTGCGGCGTTAGGAAGGTTGAGAACCACTGAATTAGACTAATATCTTAATATGGAAACATACAAATTCACATAAACTTTTCCCCTGGCTATTCTCTTCTTCTAAGGATGACAATAATTTCTTGGCACTCAGAAGTCAGTTAGCATTATATTAGTAAACTAAATAGACTATGAATTCTCATTTGACTTTTAGCCCAAATAAAAGCACCAATACCTTTGTATTTATGCGGCTCAGAGCACAAGCTTTAACCTGAAGTTTCACATAGTTATCCTCTGCAACAGGAAGAGTTTCCTAGAACCAATGATAACAAAATATTACACATTCATTTGAGCCCACGCCTTTATGATGTGAATTTTCATACACAACTGAACAAAATTAAACAGGCCCCAAATCTAACTTTAGGGATGAAAACTAAGAGCTATTTGTATGCCATACTTGCATATTCCATAGTATAATAAGGATTTCGGAACCATGAACACAATCCAGTTTTCCTCTGTCATCTTTCACTAACTCCAAAATCATTTAAGTCAAGAGTCAAAATCTCAGACAGCTTGCTTCTACCACTGGAATGATTTTGGCTTGCGACAGACCTTTCAAACAATCTCCAATATATGAAAATTCCACTCTCTATGCTTAAAGTGGTAAAAAATAGAAACCATTTAAAGCTTAGTGAATAGGGTGACATTGCAAAGCTCAGAAATTAGTGTGGAAAACAGTGTTTTCCACCTCTTTTATCTCACAGTTTGAGAGAATGTATTTTCTGAAATATGACTACAATCTGGAAATTTACTTTATTGTGGTATTCAAAATAAATTGAGTTAATTTTGCAACATATAAGACTATTAAGGTATTGTTTTCCATTTATCTTTTATACCACCACCCAGGGGACTAAACACTCTTTTGTAGCAACTCTTTTAAAAATATAGTTATACTACAATATGGACCAGCACTGTAACATATGATTAAAGGAAAGTAATTTGTAGCGTTTCGTTTAAGTTTCACTAAAAGATCATTTAAACTGGGTAAATATACTTATCTTGTTTCGTTTAATGATTAAACAATTTTTCTCACCCGTTCTTGAAATACAAATGTTATTTTTTCATTTGTAGAACTCCGTTGAAAATATAAGCCTTTCATAGTCACCTAAAGCAAAACAAAAGAAGAAATATATACATGAAATAAACAAACCAACAAAATGTCATCTATACCAAACGAAAGCAAAAATTAAAAAATAGTGCTGGCAAAGGATAAAGTGACAACTAGAAATGTAGTTTCCAAACAAAGAAATTTAGATAATAGTGCTTGAAAGTGATCCAGAAGTGAATATGCCATCTTAGCAGAGAAGGGGTTTACAGGTCAGCTTTCCACATGAAGGTGAGCATGTGTTTAATCTCACTTTGCTATTCAATAAAAATGATTAGATGTACTTGGGGGGTGGGGGTGGGGGGAAACGGAAGAGGTTCAGAGAGCTCAATTGTAATTACCAAAGGTGTCATTTGAAAGGCGTTCAAAGTCTTAAAAAAGACCATTAGGAAGGGAAAAGTGGGCCCTCCCCTCCACCAAAAGATTGGGGGTTGATTCTGGGTCAGGGCACATCCCTAGGTTGCAAGTTTGATCCCTGGTCCAGGCCTATGGGAGACAACCCACCAATGTTTCTCTCTCACATGGATGTTTCCCTCTCTCTCAAATCAATAAAAACATACCCTTGGGTAAGGATTAAAAAATAAATAAAAGAAAAAGTCCATCAAGACACCAAAACTGTGCCCTTAATTCTTCTGTGACAGTTTACAACCATTTAATGGAAGTATTTAAATCTGTAGTCTGTGGATTCTTGAAGCACATCTAAGGATTCCAGTTGTTTAATTTTCATAATAATTTTATGAAAGACTAATTTATTATTTTTATTTTTTTTAATATATTTTATTGATTTTTTACAGAGAGGAAGGGAGAGGGATAGAGAGTTAGAAACATCGATGAGAGAGAAACATCGATCAGCTGCCTCCTGCACACCCCCCACTGGGGATGTGCCCGCAACCGAGGCACATGCCCTTGACCGGAATCGAACCTGAGACCTTTCAGTCCGCAGGCCGACACTCTATCCACTGAGCCAAACCGGTTTGGCTATTATTTTTATTTTAGAGATAGAGGAAGGAGAGAGGGAGAGAGAGAGAAACATCAGCTGATTGACTGGCATGTGCCCTGACCAGGAATCACACCGGTGACCTCTTGGGGCACAGGATGGCGCTCAATCAATGAGCCACACTCACCAGGGCAGGACGATTTTCTCTTTCAAATCCTCACCCGAGGATACTTTTTCACTGATTTTAGAGAGAGTAGGAGAGAGAGGGAAAGATGGGGAGAAATATCGATGTGAGAAAAACACATCGATTGGTTGTCTCTCGTGCCCTGACCAGGGCCCGGCTGGGATGGAGCCTGAAACTGAGGTACTGGCCCTTGACCAGAATCCAACCCGGACCCTTCGGTCCGCAGGCCGACGCTCTATCCATTGACCCAAACTGGCCAGGGCAAGACTATTAAGTGTAAATTTACAGGAGAGCACAATGCACATGGGAAGTGCAGAGGCCCCACTGCACAGCCTGCTGACCTCTGTGGAGTGTTCGCAGTCACGCAGGAAGCAGCACCAGCACCCAGAAGCTTCTGTGCCCCCGCTACTCGCCACCTCCCTTCCTGGGGACACTCACTAGCACAGGGGTGGGCAAACTGTTTGACTCGAGGGCCACATGGGTTCCCAAACTGGACCGGAGGCCGGAACAAAAGCATGGATGGAGTGTTTGTGTGAACTAATAGAAATTCAAAGTAAAAATCATTACATAAAAGGGTACGGTCTTTTTTTTTTTTTTTTTAGTTTTATTCATTTCAAATGGGCCGGTTCCGGCCAGCGGGCCGTAGTTTGCCCACGGCTGCACTAGCCCCTAGCAGCACAGGCTCGTTGGGTCTGTCTCACTTTATGTAAAAGAAATGACATCCCTTATGTCCACTTTCTTTTTCCCAACACTGTGTTTGTTTTACCCACATTGTCGCTGGTAGTTGTAGTTCATCATTCTCATTGCTATACAGTATTACTATTATAGTCATCCATTGCTATTGATTAATTCCACTATAGGCATTTGATTTTCTTCAGTTTGGGGCTTTTACAAGTTATTCTTGTACCTACCTGTACAGGTGAAAGTGTTACTACATTTATTTTATGAAGGAGGAAACTGAGTCTTGCAGAGGTTAAGGCACATACCTAGGGCCGTATAGCACCAGCTGGGCAGATCTGGGACAAACCAGATGCTCCCAACTCCGAAGTAATTTCTCTTATCCATTATACTCAACGGCTTTCTACTGAGCTGCTAACATTAGACTTTCCACTTGAAACTAGGATCCTACATCCTTTAGCTTAGGGTTGTCATTTATGAAGTCCTTGTTGATAAAACTGATATATAACTTGCAGAGCCCAGTGCAAATGAAAACGTGGGGAAACTTGCCCAGAAATTACGAAAATTTCAAGCTGGTGACCAGAGCATGAAGGCTTCTGAGCGTGAGGTCCAGGGCGAATGTGAAGGCCCCGCCAGGAGCCCTCCTGACATTAAGCCTCAGAGGGTCTAACGGAGCTGAGTGAAGTCAGCAACGCTTCCTGCTTCCTACAACATGGTAATCAGATGCTGGAACTGAGAGAAATGGACACACACTCAAGGCACCTCTAATCATGTGTGTAGCACGTACCAACGGGGCATATGAAAACAGAGTGAGCCAGTCAGATGACATGAATTCCAACCCTGTGGCAAGAAGGGCTGTGTGTGCATGTCAGTGTGTGTGTGGGGGGTGTCTGCAGGGGAGCACAGATCCAGCAGCCAGGCGTTCATTCCCGTTGACAGTAAACCGACCCTCTACGCCCAGCTCCCAAGGCCGTCTAAGATGCATGACCCACTGCCCGTCCGCCTGATGCCCATTCCCCGCGCACACCCTGTCTGATCCCGTCACTCCGCCTTCACACCAGATGGCCACGGGTCTCTGGGCTTCCGGGCCCTGCTTGTTCGCTGAGTCTGCGCTGTCCTTGCTCTGCAGATTGTGCGGAGTGAATCAAACCCCACCCTGCCCCTCTCCGGTCTCCCCCAGTGACACTCCATCTACCCCATCTGTTCCCTGCTTCTAGATTCCATTACATACTAACACAGCCTTGCCTGCCTCACTCACTCACTCACTCACTCACTCACTCACTCGTGGGTTTTCCCAGCTACTGCTGGAGAGAATCAATATCCATTATCATTAAACACTGAAATCCTTGCTCCTGCTCCGTCTGGAGCTACTGGAGCTGCCTTTTAAGAAACAGAACTTTTACATGGCAACACCTTGATTTCAAAACATCTCCTTCTGTAATGCGGGAAGCCACTGTTTCCTCTGCCCACTGCATCTTAGAACATGCGCTGTCTCCCAGAGCAGCAGTCACGTGGACCTCAAACCACAGCACCCCAATTTCAAAGGCCCGGGCAGATAACTGCACTACAGCTATCATACACATAACATCACCAATGTTTTTAGTCAGATGACCCTAAATTGTTCCTCTAAATTTTGGGTTAAAATTGGCCTGGGTGGCAGAAAAAAATAATTCTTAGCTGGTCCAATAAAGAACCAAGTGGGAACAAAAATATCCTCAAAATTACAAAGGGAAGAAAGAGAAGTGTTTTTACAAAAGTAGCAAGAAAATTGAGGAAATCTTATTTTACAAACCCCAAAAAGGAATACTGAGTTCTTGACACTTAGAAAATGGTAGAATGGATGGTATTCAAGGCCCAAGTCGTCTCTCAGGCATTGGTCTAGATCACTGATGGCAAACCTATGACACGTGTGTCAGAGGTGACACATGAACTCATTTTTTTTGGTTGATTTTTCTTTGTTAAATGGCATTTAAATATATAAAATAAATATAAAAAATATAAATCTTTGTTTTACTATGGTTGCAAATATAAAAAAATTTATATATATGACATGGCCCCAGAGTTAATAGGGTTTTTCAAAATGCTGACATGCCGAGCTCAAAAGGTTCGCCATCACTGGTCTAGATTAAATGGAACACTTAAGTCTATTATGTCAAAATTGTTTTATTGAATGTAAATATACTTGCACACAGGAAATAAATTAGCTGAGCACCTTATAAAATAAAAATATAAGTTAAAATATAGCACTTATCATGCCATTTCCAAGAATGAATATCATTAACTTCAAAATTATATGTTGTACTCTCTTTTTTCTCAAGAAAAACGATTTTGAATATGATGTTACATGCAATAAACACCAATTATTCAAGAAAAATGACCTTATATATAATATTATATGCAATAAACATTAATATTTCAAGGATAAAAAGATTTTAAGTATAATGATATTACCAAAACTGTACTAACATAGTACATCATAAAAGTTGTAGGAAATATTAAAAATCTGCAAATAACAGGATTACTTCTATTATACTTCTAGTATATTTTTTTCCCTTCTGTCTCTATTTTTGTTCATCAGTTTATGTTATTCATTATATTCCACAAATGAGTGAGATCATATGATATTTATCTTTCTCCGCCTGGGTTAGTTCACTTAGCATGATGCTTTTAAAGTGTATTTTGTTGGATATGGGTATTGCTATTCCAGCTTTTTTTTTTTTTTTTTTCCATTTGCATGGAAAATTTTTTTCCATCCCTTCACTTTCGCCCTGTGTCTTTTGTTTTGAGGTGGGTCTCTTGTAGACAGCATATAGTTGGGTCATGTTTTTGTATCCATTCAACTAACCTACACCTTTTTTTTTTTAATATATTTTATTGATTTTTTACAGAGAGGAAGGGAGAGAGATAGAGAGCCAGAAACATCGATGAGAGAGAAACATCGATCAGCCGCCTCCTGCACATCCCCCACCGGGGATGTGCCCGCAACCCAGGTACATGCCCTTGACCGGAATCGAACCTGGGACCTTTCAGTCCGCAGGCCGATGCTCTATCCACTGAGCCAAACCGGTCCCGGCACCTACACCTTTTGATGGGAGCATTTAATCCATTTACATTTAGGGTTATTATTGAGAGGGACTTATTTATAGCCATTTTAATTCTGTACGGCTAGGTTTCTCTCTGTTTCTTCTCAGCAGTCCCTTT